GTCTGCCCATCCCAGCAGATCCAGCCTGGGGATTGTGGCTGCAAGCCTGGAAAAACTTGGGTTTTTCTACACCTCTCCTCAGGGAAGGAGGATTAATTTTTTTATGTGTTTGTTTTGTTGGGGTTTTTTGAAAACAGAGCAAAAAAATCCCATGCATTCCCTATCACCTTTCACTCAAATGTCTCCTTAACTTTTCCAAACAAACCTCACGGTACTCACACTGCAAGTGGCAGTACTTTACATCCCAAGCAGCTTTAGCCATTGGCCTGCATCAGAAATCCACAGCCACACTCTATGGTTTTTTCTAGGCCTTAAAGTCCTCAGAAGCTCTGCTAATAATTCCAGAAATAGCATTCCCTTCATCCCAGGGGCAGAATGAGACACCCCTGCCCAGTTCCCACCAGCCTCGTCTCTTACCTGCACCTGGGAGCCTGAGGCCCTTCCCATCTCCTGAGCCTTTCCCAGCAGCCCCCGTCAGCCTCCTTCACCATTCCTTAACTCCAGTCCTTCCTACTGCAGAAATGGCCACCAACACCCCACAAGACCCACAGAGGGACCCCTGCCCTGTGCCCTACAGGGGCACAGCCACAGTCCCCAGTTCCAGGAAAACAAGGGGAAGTATTTTGAAGCATTTAGGGGAGGACAACAAATGAGATAGAGATGGGCCAGCTGGGGCCAAAACCTGGGCTTTAACCAGCAGCATTTGCTTGGCTGCCCCCACAGCACACAGGCCAGTCCCTTCAGCCATAATTAGGTGCTCAGGTGCACTGGGAAGCTCCTCAGCCTGGCAGGGGCCCTGACAGCCCCTAATTGTGTCCCACAGCCCAGCACCAACCTGGGGAACCGCCTGTGCAATCAAAACATTCTGAATTCACTGAACCAAGACAAAAGACAATAGCGGACTTTTTTATTCTATCTTTGACCAGTCTTGTTAACTTTACAAAGATATTCTGTCTGCTTTTAGGTAAGATTTTCTGGCTTTAAGTAATTTTTCAGTGCGCCTCTATTTCGTGTTTTAAACAGTGTTCAAAGTCCTCTGTGCCAACATCAATTAAAAATACTTATATGTATGTGTGAGAATAGAGCAGAGGCTCCCAAGCTTTCATTTTCATATTATTAGCAGCACTGGCTATTCCCAGCCCTGTATCAGAGGCAGCACATGTGCTGGTTGTGCACCAAGGTAAGAGCTACCCACAGCTCTTGAAACAGCAGCCAGAGATTCTAGCAAGGGGTTCTTAAAACAAATAACGAAACAACACACACTTTCATCTACTCAGTTCAAACAATGCACACACATTCCTGGTTTTTGTCTAGTCTCATATGTTAATTTTCACCTCCTAGAAGGAGCAGAACGGTTCCCTTTCCAGAGAACAGGTTACTCCTCTGCTCTGGGACAATGACTCCGACTGTACCGTGGGCAGAGCAAAGGTTTCCACCAAGCACCCCCCTGCTGTTAGCACAGCTCATCAGGTCGCTGCTAGGAATGAAAAACAATTCTGTGACAGGAGCTGTTTGTCTTCGCGAGTCTCTTGCTGCTGTGGGCATGGATGGCCTGGTGTGTCCCCCACAAATGCAATGAAGTCAATGGGCTCTCACATTTGCTGTTTCTTCCAAGTTACAAAGCTGCCATTTGAATTTCAGTGCTGACTTTTTTGCAGGAGAGGCTTATATAATTCTTCAGTCCTCTTCAAACACTCTACGAAGATTAATCGATTGCTGTAAAAGGTATTTAACTTGTCCACTAGTTCTAACAAAGTATTTGTTTTCTGTGAGATCACAGAGATTTCTTAACCTGGTGTAAAGCTGCCACAGCAGAAACTTACATCCATTGTTGATAGTGCACCTACTTAATGTGCTCCTATTTGAGAACTTGGTGTAAGAGTTTCTTAATCAAGGGGCCTCGTTGAAGTGCCACAGAATTCCGCAAGTATAAACTATGCATTTAGCAATTTTTAATGCTAAATTACTTTTAATTAAAAGTAAATTTTTAATCGTTTACCATCTGAAAGCTGAAGAGTCAACATATGAAATTAATTCCAACGTTTAGAAATTAGAGAAGTTAATTCCAGTCTAGTTTCAGGATTTTAAAAACCCCCCTTGAAATAAGAATGCATCCACTTATTGCTTTAAAAAATTGGAAAATAATAGAACAAAATATTCTAATATAACCTCGAGTCTATTACCAATTTTAACCCAATGGTTTTGAATAATTATCTTTTTCTAGTCCAAATGCTGCCTACCTCAATGCTTTGTATATACCATTATTTAGGAAACAAACAGAAAACAAAAAAATTACCTGCCCTAGCACTCTTACAAATGAGATGTTAATGCCAGCACTCAAAAGAGAAACTGTCAAAAATACCAGCCATAACAGAGAATTTTCTTCTTAGGTATTTTTATTTTATTGGGTTTTTTACATTCTTTGATGGAATTTTTATGCAACTATTATGCCACAATCTATGATACACAATGAAAGTGGAAATCTGTCATTTACCATTTATATTTCTATGTTAATTTTGTTTTCTACCTCTGCATATGCTGTGGCATAAGTGCATTTATCATACTCCATGCAGCACTGACCTGTCTTATTCAAACTAAGAATACAATAAACAGTGCCAGAAATATTTAGCTGCTCTCAATTCTTGCTACAGAAACAAGCATTCATAAAAGCATTAAAATACTTTGGGTGATGGTTACTGCCTATGAGCTTAATGTTTTGAGCTATACAAAGGGACAGGAGACAATATTTGTGGCTGTCAACTGCAGTACTTTCCGAGTTCATTATGTTTCAAAAGACTGAATTAGCCTTTATGCTTCAGTGAGAGAAAAAGCCCAAGGCAACCGGCCTGATTTAAAAGGGTGTTACTGAGTTTCACCAACATGAAGTCCACTAAGTGGACTTTCTGAATCCCATGGTAAGTACTTTGCCACGTTGATTTTATGCTCTGACAGGATTTTTTTTTCACCATCATGTTGTATCCAGGCCAAACAAAGGGACAGCATAAGGCACACATCCCTTTTTGGTAACCTGCTTGGGTAAGTAGTACCTGATCATAGTTGAAAGTTTTTAATACAGCTGTTTATTTTGATGAGACAAGAGGCTTTCCAGCATCACCCAACTCCTTGAATCAAACAAAAACTGTCGTGCTCCCCTGTGTCACAGCCAATACAGCAGCAGCAGCAGGGTTAAACCTACTGCCAAGCACAAAAGTGTCTCCGAGGAGTTTCAGGGCAGGGAAGTGGAGATGGGGGGGATGTCTCATCTATCTGTTTTCCAGTCTCTTGCTATGCTGTATCCAAGTGTCTGCTCAGCAGACCTAGGATAACCCTGCAGGCACTGCAGGGCCCTTGTGTAGCTGGTTACAGCTTCAGCACAGCCATGGCCATTCCTCTGCACCCTCCTACACCACTGACCTGCTCATCCCGCTCTTCCCTCTGCCAGCCAGCAGAAAGAAGGGAAGAAGTCTCCTGCCACTACACAGGTTGGTGCTGCAGAAACCTGCAGTCACAAGGTCCACCCAGAGCCAAGTTCTCCTGGGGCAGAGGGAACAGGAATTCTGACAATATTAATTCTTATATTGNGGCCCCGGCAGATGAACCTCAGGATTAAAGGGTGGGCTCAGTTCAGCGCACGCTGGGTCTCACCTAAAAAATCCACTGCGCAGGCTCGAAGGGTCAATGACCTTTCCCAAATCTTCGCTCGCGAAGATTGGCCATTATTATTATAATTCTTATATTGGGAGGGGAGAGCAAACAGGGCTCACCTGCCTTCCAGCACTGTGGAGGAAGCACAAGCAGTGGCTCTCGGACCACCCTGCCATGCAAGCACTATGTTCTGGGAGAAACAGCCCTTGCTGCTCTCTCCCCTTCAGCACCTGCTGCACCTCAGCCACCTGACACAGAGCCGGCTTCTGAGGTGGTTCACTTTTATGTCCATACTGAAAGTACATGGCAATTAATATCCTAATTGACAAATAAACACAAGGGACCAAAGAAATCAATTCTTACTTGTACAAAACCACAGCATGTGCCTTTGGTAAATCAGCAACAGTTGCTTGCCCACCTTCCTCTTTACATAAAAGAAAGGTGAGTCAATCAGGAATAGCCACTTCAGAGTTGAGTTAGTATCAGCAAGGAGATGTGAGGCAGGAAATAGCACTGGACAAAACAGAGAATCCATTGCTTGTTGCATAAACACAGATTTTTCATCCAAACACAATCTTTTTAGGGGTGGTACCAGGTCAAAGAGAAGCAGATTCTAGTAGCATGGTGAGGGAAAGTAGTATGTGTTCATCCAAAATAAGGATGTTTACAGGATCCCACAGTTCCCTAATACCACACAGCATCAAAGCAGGCAGCCTGGGGAATGGAAGCAATTGGTGCTGTCACCTCTTCCAAAGTCATTTGATGCTGAATTCTCCTGCTGATGACCCATTTCTCTGTTTGCTGTGGTCTTGTGCACCCTTCTTCCCTCCTCAGTTACCCCCAACAAACCTTTTCTTGGTCCCTTTTATGTCTGCCTTCATCACCCTCCTTGACCTTAAACCTAAGTGGTCAACACCCCTTCTGTTATCACCCAGTTTAACAATTTGTAACCTCACTCTCTATTTTCAGCCTCCTCCTCACATCCTCAGGTTACTTTACCATCTCCTTGCAACAACCACAGCTGGTACATTTCTCTACCAAAGTCATCCACCAGCTCGCTGTTTTTCGGTTCCACTACTCTTCTCCAATACAGAGACAGAAACAGCTGTCATTTACTTTCCTTGTAACAAAGCCTCTTGTGTGCATAACTGTCGTGCTGTCCATGCCTGCTCTACTTACTTACAGTAATTAGACAGTGCCCACGGACTGTGATACAAGCCTTACCGAGCTAGACCTTGGATCCTGGGATAGGAGACACTTCTTGTCCCAATATAAACAGACAAGTGACAAAAAATGATGGAAGGCAAGTTGGAATTGTTGTTTCCTTACAAACTGGGAAGCAAGGTACATATTAATGAAATCAGCTGCTGGATCCTTTTATTTGGTAAAGCAAAGTTACATAATTTCCAGTGTTTTCCCCACTTCTGTTTTCTTTCGGATGCAGTGTTTTGAGAGACCACTAGCCAGAGATGGGTCAGTGCCCTGAAGTTAGAATGTTTTTCCCTCAAAGGCCTCCAGATTGAAAGCTGTATCCAAGAATCTCCTGAGTGACACCAGATGCATGTTCTTGTTGCCTGTGGCAGCTGCAGCAGCAGGCTCTCGGCCAACATACCTGTGTGACAAAAAGAATTGGGCAGACAAATGAGGTGAGAAGAGAGACTATTTTGACAATAACAAGCATGAGAATATGCTGTTTAACATAATCAAGTCAGCTTGGCAGATTTGGACATTTAGTAATCAATCTTTCTTAAATAAAAATCAACCTAAGTTGTACCAAATTATACCTTTTGGTCAGCTTCCCCCTCTTTTCCCCCTCCCATCATTATTAAGCTGTGTCTTCTCCCCCATCCCTCCCAGGGCAGCCAGCTACACTGCCTCATAATTAGATAATTTGCTTTTGGCAATGAAGATTCTCATTCCTCTGACAGCTGCACGGGCAGATCTGAGAGTCAGTCATCTAAAATAATGCAAAGGTACCTGGAATGAGCTCTTACAACAGCTGTTTCCTCCAGAAACCTAACATTTGGAAATCCTTATAAGACAGAATCTTAAGACAAAAAGAGAGAAAAATCCAAGAGAGCTAAGTGCTGCACTAAGGGGCAATAAATACAGAGCTAGTTGCTACTGGTTTTCTTTTAGAACTACAAGAAGGAGCAAGATATGCATGTTGTACTTGAGAAGTAGTGGTATAGGCTTTCTCCCTCCTTCACCAAGAACCCAGACTCAGAGGTTTTGATTTGTGAACAACCTAATTTACCCATTATACCATCCTCAAATCAAAAAACAAATTTAAAAGGAAAAAACCCAAACACACAAAACTTGAAAACAATCCCAAAGACATTTAAAACCAAACAAATCAGCTCAGGAGACAGAGCAATTGTTTTGAAGTCTCATACCAGATAGGTCGAGTGCGGTTCACAATAGTGCGGAAACGAGGTTTGACATAATCATAATATCCACTGTTTTTGTGCTCCTCCTGACACCAAACTAGATCAGCACTTGGATACTTCTCAAGTTCTTCTTTCAGCAAGTCAAAGGGGAATGGTGAGATCTGGAAAGAGAAGGTAACAATTGGCAAAGCTTTTTCTTACGTGGTTTTAAGCCCACGGTGAGTCATTACTTCTTCATGGAAAGTGACTCATGTTTCTCTAATTGATTTAATGTTCAGAAATAAATAAACACATATTTTATAGCTGTACTAGTATGAACAGAAGTAGGTCATAGTCCAGATCACCTGCACCTCTACAGCTTTTTTGGTGAAGCAGCTATGGCAAGTCCTTAATTAGCAAATGACAATACACTTCAAAGTGTCCTATTCACAACATTTAAACTTAACAGACTGGATATACAAATTTAAGGTGCCATCATATTGTAACCTTCACTTAGTTACATTGTTCTGGAAAAGTCATCAAGCGTTCTGGATCTCATTGTCCAGTATACTACTGATGTGTTCCTTCTTCCAAAGGCCACAAAGGATTAAAATACGTCTTGTAAGATGCCAAATGCTACAAAAATGCTATCACCATTCATTCTAGCAAGTGGTGCCTATTGAAAAGCACAGGAACCCCTTGCTGGAAGTCTCCCCAGGACTCTGTCTTCTGAGATGAGGGAGCTCACCTGTTCAAGTCTGGTTATAGCTACTTGTTTCTCCAGGTCTTGATTCTTTCTCTCTTTCACAAGATCATAGTACACCTTTCCCGTGCAGAAAATCACTCGCTTGACCTCATGTGGCGCCTGAGCTGCCGGACCGTTCTCGGGAATCACGCGCTGGAAAGTGGTACCTGTTTGGAGCACAAATTAGAAAAAGTGCTCTCAGTGGAACTGACGTTTCAATAAAGCAGCCCAAGTAACAGTCCTCTACTGAGCAAGCAGCAGGTTACAGTGATCACAGGGTTCTCCTGCCTCTCTATTCTTGCTTTTCAGACCAGTAACTCTGCTAAAGTGACTTTCAGCAGTTCAGTTTCAAGAAGTTAGAAGGTTCTCAATAATCCAGTCTTTCACACTTAAGACAGAAACATGTTAACAGTGGATTATCTTTTAGCTCTGTGCTGTGCATTACACCTTCACTTTTAAATTGATTGGATAGCTCACTTTTGCTTCCAGCTCTTTTTTCAGAGAATTACCTGAAATGCTGTTTCTTCTTTCCAAGATGATTTTAACCATGTAACATTAATATAGCTTTACAAAATGTTAGAATATTCTTATATGAAAACAAACCACATATCCATAATGCAACTACATCTGGCAACTGCAGAAATATTTACACAAGTACGCACATTACTGCCATATATTTAGGTGATTTAAACCTCTGTTTGAGAGCTAAAATGACATTATCCAAAGCAAGAATTAGCATAGAATGAGCCATATGTATAAGTGATAATGTTTAAGTACAACTTCAGATGCATATCCTGACTGTTAGAGATCTTTTCCCCTGCAATATCAGCTCCCAGGAGTACAATTTGCTTGGGATACATGAAACTGGAAGAGGGACTTGATGGTCTAAAAGATCCTTTTCTTTGCTCTTTTATATGAATTATTAGAACTATTTCCACATTAACCAACTGCAGGGCAGCAGACAGCAGCACGACCTCCTGGTCTGAATCAGCACACCCACTCACCAGGAGAATAAGCTCCTGTTTGAACCATTTATCTTGGGGGAAGAAAAGCAACAGCACAAACATATGACACAGGAACTGATTTATGTCAGAATTATCCTGTTCCACTGAACAGCAGAATTCATCATTAAAAAAGCCTGAATCTGTGCTTCACTGGGTCAGCTGGAGTCATTCTTGCTCTCCTCCTCAGTTTTCCATTAAAAGCAGAGCAAAAAGAGATAGCTGAGAGTCAGCAATACTTTGCTACCTTGCTGTCCTCTTCAGCAAGAACAAGCAAGTATGTCAGAATTCAACGTTAATTACGAATTTGGCCACTACTGAGGGTTAGCCTGAAGTAGAGGGGACTCCCAAGACATATTGACAAATCACAAATGCTACAGAATTTCTAATCTGACCTGTTTTACAAAGCTTTTAAACAGCAATAAAAACAGCAAATGCCTTTGCTTGAGAATCAAATTTTACTCATGTACAGAAAGGAGATAATGCAATATTTAAGCATGTTTACACACTGTAACTTGCTTTTAAAAAACTGAGCAGTTGTTCTCTTCTGACAACAGTTAAGACACTCACTGGAACTGGAGATAGACTAGCACACCCTAAGTACACTTTCTCACTCTGAGTGATCACTTTACTCACCCACTCATTACAGGTCACTGCATTTCCTCATGCCACTCCAGCATGGCCTAAAACCAGTGCAAGGCAGGAAAATAAAATGACTGCAGTTTTTGGTATTCCCTCTGCAGTCACTACGTATCTCTTGGAGCTGATGTCCTGCCAACCACAGCTGGGGTGGTAGCCTGCAGCTCTGAACTCCTGATCTCACTTTGGATCACTGGCAGGACACAGCAGCCCCAAAACTGAGTACTGTAAGAAGAACTGGGCACCTTACTCTTACAAATGGGCACAGTGTAATTAGAACCTATGCCATTCACATCTGGGGGTCTGGGGCGTGGGCAGCAAAGAGAACAATTAAATTTTTACATGAAGAGAAAAAGAGCAGAGAGACACAACAGCCTATTGAGGGGAACATCCCTGCAGGGATGGGAATGCAGTTTTTCACTGCTTTAAGATTAATGGCTGGTTACAAGGTAAACCTGTTAAAATTGAGATTCTACACTTGAAAGCAGATTTTTCAGTAAAAGTCCATGCTAGATCTCACCATGACAGCTTCACAGAAATTATGGCAAAAGAAAAGGCAAACTCTCCAGAGCAGATTCTCGTCTCCACAGTCTGACATGCAACTTGGTATAGCTAATTATTTGTCCATAATACTTTAAGATCACCTACCAGTCACCATTTCATCAAAACTGGATTTAGCTTCTGGATGCCTCAGCAGTGACTTGGGTGTCAAAACAATCAGCTGTAAGACAGAAATTTTGCCAGCACTCAGGAGCTGCTTTATCTACATTATTACATGCAACATTTGTAACACTGTTCATACAAAAACCACAAAGTGTATATGCTATGGAATAAATTAATGTGAATAGCAAACACAGTATTTTTCTTGTTTTGAAAGCCATGGAAGTTTCAAAATGACTCAAAAGATTTAGGTAGTCTACTTCTTTTAAAGGTTGTCAAAACTCATCGCTTATGCTTCTTTCTGACAACAAATCAAACCACAGGTTATGAATCAGTAAAACATTCGACAGTTGTATCTTAGGTTTTTGAAGTTCCAGCAATTAGACAAGCACATGATATTTATGCAACCTGTTAGCTACATTAGAGGTATCTTGACAAGCTCATCTGAAGATCTTCCTAGCCAGATGGAAGCAAAGCTGAAAATCAAGTTTTAGAATCATAGTAAGTCAGAGCTGAGTTTCTTCCCATCAAAACGGTAACTTCAATCTGTGTTCAGTTAAGATTTTTCTCCAATGATTCTTATCCTTTTGAGCAGCATGTCATATGCAAACAAGACTCCTCTTTATGTGAGGGTTAATATCCCTAAAAAAATCAAGTCCATTACAGTAACTTTACCGGCTTTCTGAATGGCAGCAAGATCTGTCTTCGGAGGACATGAAAGTAGTTGGCTGGAGTTGAACAATTCACCACAATCCAGTTGCATTCATACAGCTGGGAAACTTCAAACTGCTCACTGAACTCCTGAGAGAGACATTCAAGGCATTAGAAAAATGTGCAAAAGATCAGAAAAAAGGCTTGAAAGCCATCTTTCTATTTCTGCCTCTCAGCAACTCCCTTCCTCAAAAAAAAGTTAATTAGCAGCTCTCTGCTGAGAATGTTTTATTAGCTAGGAATCATTTGCTTCTGTTTCTACTTCTTCCTAAAAATGTATGCAGATATACACAAAAAGCTTCCATTAATTTAAATAAACTGGGAAGTCCAGGAACAAAGACTGAGGAGGACTAGGACTTCAGCAGATGAAAGACATGAAATAGAACCTCTTTGAAAGAATGTTAAACTATAATTGAATTTGTGAGTGTACAGTTAACTGTCACTCTGCCATTTTTTGGTAGGTGTTCCATCCTCTTGTTTATTATATTAATATGCTTTATGTTTATACATCTTATTAATACGGGGGGGGTATTCATATGTATATACCTAATATGTATATTAGGTATATACATATTACCTAATATGTATATATTAGGTAAGCATATATATAGGCACAATAATCTCTCTACAGATTGGTACAGAATTTAACCCAATTTCCCAGTCTGTGGCTTGAGCTCCTACCTTCTGTGATAAAGCTTATAGCTTGCTCAAGTAAGCACCTGCTGTAGTGCTTAAGTATAGTCAATCAAACAGGTCTTTATCTACTGAGAGTAAGGTGACAAAAATCCCTTTTAGTTGAGGAGGAACATGGTTTTGGAACTATCGTTGCCCAAAGGGTAACAAAGTCAAGACCAAAACTGAAATATTCTTTTTTTTTTTTTTTTAAAGGCTTTTCAATAAATGCATGGCAGTGTTAATTAGGAAACCTGCAGTAGGGAAGTGGATGCCCAGCATCCTGGAGAGCTGTGTACTTTCTCTGTAGAAATGAATGACCAACCTATGAAAGTCTTAGCCAAATAACAATTAGAAATTGCTTATTTTCATGCTCCCAGCAGTACAATTTAGCTCCTCTGCAAAAAGCAAGGAATAGTCTCACTTGGCCTTCTTTAGAAATTGTCTAGAGACACCTATTTGCAGTACACACAGCAATATAAACAAGCAGAATCACTGGCCCTGAGGAACAGCCATAAAAAGATCATGCTGCCAGAGATTAATTGTATGTGACCTCAGCTTTGCAATGAAGCAGCAATACTGCACACTTCCATTACTTCTACTGGGATCAAGTTAATGTTACACCAAGCTAAATCTTAACCTGCTGCACCTAGCTAAAAGGATGCTTCTTAAAAGAAATATCTCTGAGACGTGAAGAGCAAAAAAAAGGACGTGGTCTTTGACAAAGCTACTTACTGGATAGGCATCAGAGTCATCATTGCTCATCTGCAGAAACCTCTCAGGCCTGGCTGATGAATGCTCTGGACCCTGGTAAAGGTATCATTTAAAACAACATTAAAGAGCCAAATGAGCAGTTAGACATCAGTCTAGATCATTCACTGCATAAATACCTCCTGTCACCCTGGCAGCTCTGCTCCATCTTGCACACCTGCCCCCAGCAGCAGTGAGAAGCGAGGACACACCACAGGATGGGAATTCCTTGTCTTCTATTAATTCTTTTCATGGGAGATTAGGTTTAACATGTATTTCCAATGCTTTTACTAGGATCAAGTAATTTCTAGCCTCAATAGAGCTGCACAATGAAGACCAGTGAAAAGGCAGTAGGTCCATGTGGGCACAAGAATGACCTTACTAATGCAGGTCAGAAAGGAGCAGGAGGAATGTCAGGAACAGAAACTCCAGATGGTTCAGTGTACTGCAGTGACTCACACTTCTTGCATGATGAACAGGAGCAAACACAAAGTTAACTGCTGACTACCTTTGCTATATTAGCAACAGAAGCAGACATAGGATCTCCCTCGTATCATTGTTCACTGTTCAGTACAGGACCAATTACCTGGATGAATGCTTCAGCTAAAATGGATCAAAATACATGTACACATTATCTGCCAAACTAACCTATGATTAATATCTGCTTCCTCAAGAGGTATTTTATGTTCTGTCATTACTGAACATGCACATCTGCTGTCTCACCAGCAGTATCCAAGGTAATTTCTTGAAATGCACCAACATTGTTATATCCATTTTACATTAGCAAAACATGCATGCTGGCCACAGACAATATCAGGAATAAGGAGTGTCACAGAATCTGTTATCTTCCTTTCTATATGTCCTTGTTTATAAAGGATGAGACGAAGTTGTGAGGAGTATGAGAAGAAAAAAAAACCCAGTGTTTTTATATATTGCTAATACTGACAGCCTTTTTTTGTTTAAGTGACAGTTACTGTTAGGAAGGACTTTCATTTTGGAGACAGCTGTGAAGTATTTTAACCCAAAGACAAACTATTACACCTCTCAACCCTCCCTATGGCTCCTCAGTTCCAGATGTTCATGAAAAGATTTTTTCTTTATATGACCGTCTCTCATCATAACTTCCTCTGTTGAAACCTTAACATATGATCTCCAAAATCAGTCATTATTTTGACACCTTGATTCAACACATTATTCTCTCTAATTCTAAGGGCAGGATTCCAGAGTCCACAGGAGGGCCACAAAGAGGATTAGAGAGCTGGAACACCTCTCCTATGAAGACAGGCTGAGAGAGTTGGGATGGTTCAGCCTGGGGAAGACATAGCCCTATGGAGACCTTACAGCACCTTCCAGTACCTAAAGGGGGCCTGCAAGAAAGTCAGAGAGGGACTATTTACAAGGATGTGTGACAGGATGAGGTGGAATGGCTTTAAGCTGAAAGAGGGCAGGTTCAGATTTGATATGAGGAAGAAATTCTTTGCTGTGAGGGTGGTGAGGCACTGGTACAGGTTACCCAGAGAGGCTGTGGATGCCCCATCCCTGGAAGTGGTCAAGGCCAGGCTGGGCCTTGATGAGGCTCTGAGCAACCTGGTCTAGTGGAACATTCTGTTGCCATGATAAGGGGGTTGAAACTAGATGGTCTTTATGATCCCTTTCAATCCAAACCATTCTATGACTCTGTGATTCACTCTACTCCACGGACTAAGGGAATTCAAAGGAAAAAACATTCTGCTGGCAACAAATGAGTAACACCAACAGCCAAGAACTGTGCCTTGTATCACTGTTCTTCTGAAGTGTGCCTACACTTTTGAGGTGCCAAATAATCTGGTCACAGATGGATAAGGACTTGGGAGCAAGGAGCCAAGCTGCAGAGAACTGTGGTGCACTGTAACAGTCCAGTATATTGCAATACCTCTGCTCTATACATCTGTTTGCTGTAAATCAAATCCTGCACTAAGTACAGCCTACACATGGACAAACACAGTGCTCCACAAGCACACTGCATTCAATACACTGGAAACAGAGATGTTACCAGCAAATAATTACAGGAGAGACAGCGAGGCTTCCCTAACATACACACACAGACTGCCCCAGCAACAACCTCAATCCAGAGCCTCAACGTCCACATCCATCTTCGATTTCCCTGCTGACACCACCAATCAGACTGCCAGCAACTGCTGCATGGGATGGGGTAGGGTTTATTTCTACTGTGACCACCTATCCAGCGAGACCTACGCTGAATCCATTAGCTACTTTCAGATGAGTCCCCAAGGAGCCATTAGGCTGCAGAGTCTTTCAATCACAGCCAACTTGCCTGTGAATGCATGACCTAGAGGTGAAGGGATCCATATCCCATTAGAATCCTTCCCCAAATCATTTTGTCCCCAACGCTGTAGCTATAGAGAGACTAACGCTCCTGTAATGGAAAGATCCTCTGGGAAGGTAACAGATTTCAACAGCCTGGTGGGATCCTTAAATGTTCCAAAACCATCTGACGTTAGTAGCAAAATAAGCATATTTCAGAAGACCTGTGCAAATCTTCACTGCCAAAAAATAAGATTAAGTGTATTGTAAGTAACAGAGAACAGACCCTTCAGCTGAATGCTTTCCTGTAGAGGACCACACCTCCTGCTGAGGGCTCATTCAGGCTGTCCCTCAGGATTCAGTTAAAAAAATTAATTTATCAAAACTCTTGTGAACAGCATCAGACCCTTTATTCTTTATGCACAATGGATATGGAAAGCCATTCATAGACATGAATGCACCCCGGTATATCAGGACGGGATTATAATGGAATGGAAATAAACTAAATTGTTTGTGAGAATGGAAATGACGCAGTTTGTGGTGGAAGGCTCTAGAGCATTTATACAGATGGAGGTTGCCACTGTGGCACATACTATACTTCTCTTAGGAGGAAACTAGAAACATACATGTATGGTTAATGTATCTGAATTCATGAAGGTTAATGTATCTGAAAAGGAAAAAATTAACCTTGCCTGACAAGATGTTCATGTAACCTTTAAAAATAATTTAAAAGATTTGAAAACCAATTCTACTGCTGATATAAATTTCATATAACATTATATACAGAGCATTCCCCTGCCCTTTCCCTCTAAGACACTGTCTAGTTCCTCCTACTAGCCACCAAAGAAAAGAGAGTCAACAGCTAGTGGAAACATTTTCCTTTCCCTAAAGAGGGAGATTTCTTATTACATCGAAGTTAATCAAGGTCAATTATTTTTGAAGAAGTTTTAAAGTTGCTTCATATCATTTCATTGCAAGAGGACTTAGTGCAGAGTTTACACAGACATACTTTATGCAAAATAAAACCAAGCAAGCACTCCTAGACACTCACATTGCACACTAAGAATCCAGCTTTCTAGGGAAAGAAGGCAGTGTCTTAGGGAAAGATACCAAGAAAGAGAGAGAAAAAAGAAAAAAATTGGGGGAAAAGTGGTACATGCCAATAAGGAGGATACAAAGCTAAGAGCTCAGAAATGTTTCTCAGGGTTTTTTTGTTCTTGCCTATCAATCTAATCACATTTTTTTCTGTAACAATGAGGCGGTCCAACATGCTAAACAGCGCCTTCCTCCCCTGGGTTTCTCTCACCACTGGATCCCCAGGACACCTTTGGCTTTTACAGCTGAAGAGGAAGGCACTGTAGCCAGCATTTCCCTCCTGCATTTACCAGCCAGCAGCCCTCACCATTCCTTCCATTCCGTGTGGCAGGAGCAGGACGATCCCGTTGTGACGGACCCACTTGGCCTGGCCAGAGCTGATGAACTGGTCTATTATACACTGTGCCGTGTTGTGGAAGTCACCAAACTGGGCCTCCCAGCACACCAGGGCGTTGGGACTCGCCATAGCAAAGCCAAGTTCAAAACCTGAGAACCAAAAAGCAGGATAATTAGAAAATAAAGAGATTTTTGCTGAGAATTCGGTTCATTTCTCATTAAAAATAAAAAACAAACCCAAAATAAGAGCATGAACTGGATTTTTGTAGCCCTGTTATAAATCATGCTGTTTTCAATACTACCATTTCCATCAGAAAAATCAGGAAATTTCCAATCCCAACTCCAATCCTTCAAATGATTCCTCAAACATTTCAATATCATACAAGGTTTTAAATGAACAACTAAAACCCTCCCTCAGCTCCAACTTTTGAGTAATGTTTTCCTGAGAGCTCACTACTATCTTTTCCTGTAAAAACCCACTTACAGCCCATTACCAGTTCAAAAAGTTACTTATTAATTTTAATATTTGCACAGCCCTGCACAACATTGGGGTTTTTTCCCCCCTCTCTCATCTGCAAGTGCTGAACAAAATGACTGGTGACATCAATTTTCAGTCTACAGACAGGATCATAGTCTTCAGATATTCAAAAAAGCTTGAACATAATAGCTGCATGAAAGACACATCTGGGACTTGGATAAACAATCCTTTCTTTGGCAGAGTTAAGGACCCTTTGGGTCTCTGCCTCAGTGGCAGAGGAGACCAGAAGTGCTCTTCATGGAGACAACATCACTACTCCAGCTATGAAAACAGAAAGATGTGACCTTCTCCCTCTCTACTGTCTGGTGGTTTTGGTAGGAGGTAAATGCAGAAATTTCCCTTAACTTGTGCTGTTTGAACTGTAAATTCATCAACTCCATACAGAACAGAAGTGCCACACATTCCCAGTACTCAGCCACGTCAGGTTAACACAGCAGGACGAACATACTGCAGCAGGAGCTCAGGTGTCCTGCACAGAGCAAGCTATGCAGCTTCTTGTCTGCTCCAAAAACTTGTCAAGGCCCCAAAATAACTGAAGGCTCTACCTCTTAAAGGCAGAAACAAATTATTGCTCTCCTTGAGAGACTTGCTGCAGTACAATAAAGCCCTGGTTCTATAACAGGACCTGAAGAGATGATTGGCAAAGAGAAAAGAAACCTAAACTTGCACTGCAACATAAACTAGGTAATTGATTCCTAGGAGCTCTGCAAAGGTAAAACATAGAAAACTACGAGGGTGTTTGCATGTGCTACGTGGCCTCTGCTGTGTAATTTTCAAAACAAATGCAGAATTTGGTGTCAAGTCAGAACATGAAAACCTAGCCATGTGCAGAGTACCTGTGTCAGTTTTATAACCATGCTTACAGGTAAGGTTCCATAGTGAACATCTAAACATATCCAATAATATAAAAATAAATATTGGATCTCTGTTCATATTTCCCTTTGACACTTTGATATAGCGGTGCCTGGAGTGCTGAGTGAATACCTGTACTCAGATTCTACACCTATAGTTTGGAATGATTAAAACTGAAAAGGTTAAAGCTCTCAGTAGAAAGCAGTGCTATACAGCACTGCTCTGCATGTAGAGGCTCTGACTGAGGCAAAACTGATTCAATACACATAGAAAATAAGTATTTGATAGATAAGTTTTATGTTGAAGCTCTGCACACAATATAATGATCTGCTTTCAGATACAGAAATGCAACATGGGAAGACTCTCATTGAAGGTTACACCAGCAGAGCAACTAGCTTTGCTGTTGTAAAATTTTATTTAAAAAGATACAGTAGTGTGTGGTAACTCTTTCCTGACTGATTGCAAGACTGTAAAAAACCTCAGAGTGAGCTAACAGACTAATATAGATTTAGTATCTCTTTCAGCTTCTTTAAGACCTGCACAGGTAACTGAAGTTGCAGAGTCCCATCCTGCTACCACTGATGTACACTGAACTCAGCCTCATGTTTTTGCTATGTACATATCACTGTAATCCCCATTTTTGCTGTTTGCCTTACTGTGATACAGTAGCCATTCAAATGCTGTTCTACAGCATGTTCTACAGGCTTGATAGCAAGACCAGGTTAGGCAAAAATCAACACAGTCTCTGGTAATAAAATACCTGTACTGTTCAATTTTTCCCCTGACTCCCAGCCTGCCCCCACCTCCAAACACTCACAAGAGTAGTGTACATTTAATTAAGGCAAAAATGCACCCAAGACTGGCATTTGGGATGCGGAGAGAAATCCCTTCATAGCTGAGAGAACGGTACATCTATCTAGAAACTGTGCATGAATTTGGGTTCCTTCTCTATTTCACTTACAGACATTTTGAGGAATACAGGATGAAAATAGCAATTTGTAAACCTTATGCTGTGGGTAATATTTCCTAGATCCAAAGGTGGCTATGAGCCAAAATACAATCATAAGTCAGGTTCCTAATATGCCTCCTATGAGTAAAACCCAATACCACTTTGTGACCACCAGTATTTCGTAAACTACAGTAAACTGTTGCAAAGCCATGAAAAATCCCAAAGTCATTGGAACCATAATTTCTGACTTGATCAAACCCACTATACAGCTCTGCCAGTCATGAACTTCAAAAAGCTCAGGCTAGCTGGAAGAGACAAGCTTAGCATCTTGACATTCTCCACACACAGGAGGCTACTGCGACAGGGTCACCACCAAGTGATGGCTGACATCTCTCGGATACTCATAATTTGTGATTTATACCCTGGTGACTGGAGGCTGCAGTCCCTCTAGGAGAGCCTCCCTTTGTGGAGTTCAGTGGATAAGAGAGTTACTTTAAAGGGAACTGTAATACCAAAAAGATTATATAAGCAATATTAGAAAAATACCTAAAATACCTTTTAGATGGCCTGTCATTCCAGGCACTAAAACAATTAATATATTATGAGATGGAACAACATGTGGCACATACAGCATATGTGCACATACAGCATACTTTAATGTTAGTGCAAAGTAATTGATTCAGCTAGGGAGTAAGATCACAGGATCAAATCAAACCTGTTCAAACCTTCTTTATCCTGTTTCAGTGTTGTTCAACTTTCACTTTTGTTTTCATTATCAGAGGGACACTCTGAGAGCTAAGCTAAGATTGAGGTCTTTGTGTGCTGGATGCCACAAACATATACAAATAATTTCATCCCTGAAAGTTTTACTGCCAAACTGAGGGAAGAGGGAGTGAAGGAAATTGAGAACTAATAAACATGTGGTTACAGAGAGTTTAAAGTAAATTGTCCAGTTCCATAAGGAAAATCCTCAACAAAATCGAGACTAGTCATGTATCAAGTAAGTCCCTCTGTAACACTAATATCAAGAACACCCCTCCAACACTTGTCATGCAGTTTTGACATAGGTCATCTATGCATGAAACTGAAATTGCTTTAGGTTAACTTGATGAGTACAGCTAAACTGGGACTGCTACAGGATTTCACTCTTCTGCTCCAGGAAGAGGCTCTTCAGCCAATGTCAGTATACAAACTTTCCTGGAACATTACTAGAGGGACAACTGCAGGACAAATTAACTGCAAGACAAATTGACTGCATGAGCAGAAAAGCAACAAGAGCTTCCAGTGAAATTGTTTATTCACAGAGGGAACAGTTTTACAGGTTGTTTTTATAGTGTGGCTTCATAGCCTACTCCTTTGTAATTCCAACCCAGCTTTTTGCTTACAATCTCCATGACAAGAAATTTTGAGTCACTTGGCTTTTGGGCTGCTGATCTCTGAACAGTCCATCCATGTCTTCAGCAGATGTTAATGATCCCACCAAAAGGCAACTAGTAAGTTAGAGGCCAAAAGGACACTGTTAAGTCAGACAGGCCTTTTCTCTGTGAGTCACCATGACAGGTCACTACCACCAAAGATGGCTTTTGTTGACGTGCCTTTAGCCTGGCTGCCTGAATGGCTTTTCCTTCAGAACATATTTTTGATATCTGGCCTCCTCATTTGTGTAATTCTATTGTCCTTAAAACAATGAAAACAGTGGAAAAATTTACACAACTCCTTCCATGCATGTTGTTCCCAAAGGTATCTGAAAAATAGATTTCCCTAGATAGGCTTGAATCCCATTCTAATTTTACACAAGCTTTAAGAGACCATTTCTACTGATTGGGTGACATGGTTGAGAAAATATGCAATATGTTCAAGACTTATTTGTGCATATGCTGCTCTCTGTAAGGGTGGGGTAATCTAGCTTTTAGAGAAGAACAAACTGAGGTCTTGATCACTCAGAGGTATCAGTAATCACACAGTGCTTTTCAAAGAGTTTGCAGCTCAGTGCACACTTAAAATTTGGTCACAGCACACACGTGATTTTACTCCATATACCAAAGACCACTGCCAAAATTCACATGCAAAAAAAGAATATAGTTTCTCACGTCTTATCTTATTGCAAACTTTGTGCTAGTCTCCACAAGGTGAAAATGTTCTAGGTGAAGCTGCATCCAAAAGTGTGATCTTAACACAGATACCATTTGCAAGCTTTCTGACAGCCATAAAAATATCTGGGAAAATATATCCAAATGCAACCTATGCATTCTGATTAATATTTTGAAATTAATGTTGCCAATTTCATGGCACATGTGTCTGTGGTAAACACATTCTTTATATACCAGAACTCAGTTTTCCACCAGGGAAATGACAACGAGAGTTCCTAATATTAAAACTATAGCAATTGTAGCAGAATAGTTTTAACTCTTGAGAGACTAGGGAGTCTGTCAAGAATTACTGCTCCTACCTGCATGTGGAGAAAATCGCTTAAAGAGCAAGATCTGAACTGCTAAACTAAGAAAAATTGCTGGTGGAAAGACATCTAGACAGATACAAGGTGAACAACCCAGGAGTAGTGAAGTGCTTCTCCTGAAAGAGAATCTCTGGGGCACCAAAGTCAAGGTCAGGGAAGGTGACCTGAGCTAGAAAGTCTCCACCACTCTAGGGGTGGGACATGAACTGCAGGGGAGGAGGTTCCTACCCAGGCCTCTCATGAGGGCTCAATCTCAGACCAGAATAAAGAATTTTACGAAAACTGCAGCAGAGACCTTGCAAACTTTATTGTCTGTATCTGCAGAAACAAGAACTGAATATTTCTTCAGAATGCTGTGCGAATCTTGTGAGTTTAAGGGATTAACTCTTACACAGCTAGAAAAACAGGGAACGAGTTTAAGCTGTGAGGAAATCCAGTGTCAAGGCAACCAGGCAGCAAGACACAGCTTTCAAAGAATGACAGATAAGGAATATGTACACCTAAAGAGGGTTGGAGAGCAACCAGCCAACTCCAAACACCAGACAGCCACTCAGGGCTCAGAGCACACCAGAGCATGGGGAACCAGAACCCAGCACAGCACTTTGGTAAACTTCTAAACTGAGGAGGGAGGGGGAAGAAAGATACACAGCACTTGACTAAGGCTGCAAAACTAATGTTTTAATTGCTGGAGTTCATTAAGGTCCCTAGATGACAGACCTAGCAGAAATGCTTGTTTCTATTAGTCCAGTTCCTGCTGTGCTCCCTCGCTGTTCTTTCATCACTCTGGCACAGAAAGAAGTGTTGTCAAGCAAAGTGGCAGCTTACACAGCACACTGTGCTGTGTTTTTCCCCACAGCACTTTTCATGATTGTCATAAGAACTGTAGGTTTTCAATTAATGTAAGTAAGGCTATAGCTATAGCTTAATTCAATATGATTCCAAAGTGACTTAGGGCATGAATGTTAGCTAATGGTTAAAAGGGCTTATCAGAGCAGGGATTTAATGTCAGAATGAGGAGAGTTACACAGACAGATTTGTGCTATGTTAGCAGAAATTCTAAGCACAGGGACTACAGACTACATGCATCCTTTCACAAATCCAAACACAGCCCAGGAGAAAGTGAAGGTAATACCCATCTGGTGGCTGACTCTATTAAACAGAAAGACTGATACCATCTTAGAACTCCATGCAGACACCATTAATTACTGCAGTCTGTCCTACTTCCTAGCACAGTTTCTGACAGGTAATTGTATTTGCTACCCCTAACCTTAAAAACACACTGTTCTGACTGAGTAGTAATGCTACGTATTTCATCCTAGGTGAGTATTGCAAAAAAAACTTTACACCAATACCTGTCCTCTTCCTTTCACCTTTTGCTTTAAACTTGACTTTTCCCCTTGAAAAAGTATCATGTTTCAAGAATTTCCTGAGCTACGCACTAGTTCCAAGTCTATCTTGCCTGATGTTCCCTGGAAGTTCCCAGTACAGGATGCTACAGCCCAAGATCTCTCAGAGGCTGAATCTGAATGAAAGAATCACATCTCCTGGATAGAGAATCAACAGTACACAAGTCATTCTGAGAGCTGTAAAGAAAGACAGGAAATCCTTTCAAGTATTTAAAAACTGCTGAAGAGGTAGCATAGAGTGTCTCTAAGTTACTTTTGGTTTTCTCCTCTATCTTAATCAGCAAATATACTCAGACACACTTCGTTTGCTTAAATGACTTCACATGGCCATCATTTATACTTCCAGACATTCAGTTTCAGTAAAAGGGAAAATTTATAGCCAACTGAGTGGATGTGCAGCTAAATTATAATAATGTGGATATATCTAAATATAGTAGACACAGGATTTCAAACAAGATTATCAGAGGTTGTTAAATACTCTGAGGTAATGACCCAGGTACACACACTCCACAGCTTCCTGTACACAAACCATAAACAGCTGTCTGAACCACGAGTTAATAAGACTGCCTTTGTTTTATTTCTAAGTGAAATCAGTCTTGTCAGAGTATCATTTAAACGGAGCATTGACACCCCAGGTGTTCCTACACAGCTCAACAATAACTTGGTGCAAAGCTCACAGCTCTGAACAGATACCAGCTCTTGGCTTATGTACCTGCCAAGGAAATAATCTGTAATTTTATCATGTTTAATCCATGTTTACTTAGCTCTCCCTCACAGAAAGTAAAGGAATTCTCCAAATGCTTCTGAGGTACTGCATGTTAACGCACTCATAAAATAATTTCCTAACACATTTTCACCTTTCTATTCTCTCACAACTCTCCCAACCCCCACCAAATACTTCAATACACTAATCCCAAACTGTTCCTTTGAACTGAATTATATAGCAGAAACAGCATTAGAGAAAATAAAGTGTTGGGGGGTTTGGTTCTCCTGAAGAAACAACTCCATGAACTGCAAACATGCACTTATTCTTCCATGTACTAAAGAGGAGACCCAGTGATGCTACAGCCAAACAGGTATCAATTCTAATAGCTCCTCTTTGACTGAGAGGCTTAACTAGAAGAGACAGGTTCACACACTGCTGCTTATCCCAACACTGTCTCTCTATGCAGACAATACACAAGAATAAACCTGTTGAAAAAGGTCAGTATGTAAAACCTAGCAAGGGAGAGGAAAGTTCATTATAAAACCACTTCAACATAGAAAAATAGCATTTTTGGTTTTAAAAACCCATCCCAACAAACACACAAAAAAAGCCACATCACTAATCAACTATTCCTATGAATTTCATCTCCTTTAATGCATCTCAGACAAAAGGGATTTAAAGTTCTTGACAGTTAAAAATATCAATATTATTAGTTTTGAAGAGCCTGTCATCCCATCTGCTGAAGCAGACCTGCACAGAAATGGTACTCTTGTTTTCAATGTGTGAACGAATCCCTCTTTTACCCTACTGCTTGTATTCAATGAAAGTTACTAAATCAACTTTCACCTATTTTTTGCTGGGCAAGGTGGAAGGGGCAATAGTGAGCAGGATGAGATCAAGAAAGAGAGAGAGCCCACTTGGTTAGTTTTTTAAAGAACAGAATTGTGGCAATAAGAATTGCCCTTCAATATCAACATATCAACACCAGGCTTCCTACTGAGGCGTAATTTTTGGAACAAAATCAGATTTCAACAGAAATATCCAGACATTTGTCACTTCCGTTTGGATGTAAAAAAAACCCAAACGCAGAAACCTCTGACTCACTCATAAAATTCACAGCAACACGGTAACAGGCTCAAATTAAGAAACCCCAGAATACACTGTGAGAAACAACAGGAAATTGGAAACAATCATTCTCTGAAATTAAATTCTTGCTTTTTATCTACGCCAATTATTTTCCTCACATTTATANTCGCTTGCACTTTCCTATTGAGAGTTTACATTTACATGTTAGGGATACAAAAATGTGATTCTATTCACAAGAATTCTACCACAGAACCAACAAAAATACCTAAAAAAAAAATCTCAGTTCTTCAGACCATGCTCCAATTATACAGTTTTATACCACTTTAATTTTTAAATTATTAGCAATAGGTAATATGTAGCATTGAAAAAATTACTAAGTAATCAAATATTTCCAGAACTTTGAAGCAAGCAGCTATCTATTACCATCCTTATCTACTAAAATGTTCCATCTTTTTCCTTCACGCAATATTTCATTATTTATCCACAGAATCAGTAACACTTTGATAAATTATTAGATGTATTTGTTTTGTGCTCCACATTCCTCTTGCCACCCTCATCATGTCAGAGTGAGGTTATCCATTCTGTGTGGCTGAAGGTAAAATAATTCACTATGATTAATGCTATCACTAACAAGAATTTGCTTTCTTGAAATAGCACATTCAGAATAGCAGTTCAGATAAGGCCAGGATGGATTTTTATATCTGTGTTACAAACTGTCAGTTCCTCCCCTTTTGAGAAAGTATCAGGTGCACATTCCAGCATTGCCAAGATCAACCACAACAGATGGATGCTTTCAAGTGAATCCCAAAATTGTAAAATGTGAGGATGCTTGTTTAAGAGATGCCAGACCCTGGGAGGAAGAGCTTTGATACCTATTTCATATATAACCATTTTACAGCTTTTTTTCCCCACATTCTTTCCCTTGCTGAAAGCTCTGCTTCTTGTGCAGCAGAGCTATTAAAACACAAGCACATCTGTCAGAGACATACCTAAGACCCCATATTCGGACAGGGAGCTGTTGCACACGGTGTAGGGGGCCTGCTGCTCCCACAGGTGATTCATGGGGACACACGTTCTCTTGTCAACTTCTTGGTCGTGAAGCACGTGATGGCGATGGCTGCAAAGAGTTGTTCGAAGAAATTTATTAACCAAGGATAACTCTGGGCTTCAACAGAGCTGTTTTCAAAGCTAAAGCATCAAAGGTATGTGCAAGCCACACAGTTGTCTTTGCTAAACACAACACCCTGGTTTGGTCAAAACCATGTGAAATACAATCACATCTAAATACAAGTGCTGCACTGTAGGAACTTTCACTGACTATCCAGGCTTGTTCTCCAGAACTCGCAGAAACTGAAAATACCTCATCACTAGCAGAACCTGGGAGGAAAGGGAAAAGGATGGGGAGGTTGTTGCTATAAAATAGAATGATTAAAGTAAAAAAATGCAGAGGAGCAAAATTGTTATTTAAAAAATTTCACTCTTCCTCCCTAACAGAGAATCTAATCATTCTTTTCCTTAAAACAACTGTTGTTTGTCTTTTATGCAAAAAAAAAATAATCTAATCTAATCTCAGCACCAAGACTCAAAGAAGTTGTATCCTCTTTCCTGGTATTTCCACTCACATGCACCATTTACAGTTCTCTAGAAGACCATTAATCAGCATTAGAATGGGGCACCGAGGAATACTACCAAAACAGAGATGACTGAAGTAATTACTGTAATCCATTAACTCTCTGAGCAGACTAACTGAGTGAATCACAACAATATGTCCAGCTTTACAACTGCTAACATAAGGACAGCTATTGTACTGGTAACAATACTGTGCACTGTATAGCTGCCAACACTGAACTAAAGTCTGGATCTTCTTGTACTTCCCTTTGCTATAATGAACAGTAGCAAAAGAGCTCTGAAATTTATTTAGAGGTCAACAACGTAAGGCCAGAACCTTGAAAAACAGCACAGGGAGGGAAGTAGATAGACAAGGGAAAATTCAGACACCAGGCAGCTGTTTGCTAGAAACCATTTTTGCCACTGACGTTTTGGTTTTGCCATTCAGCCAAAGATAGAAGGCCTAGATAGATGATAAGCTCCGTGAGCACAAAGTCTCACGTTTACCTAGCAAGAGGTGATTAAGATGAGCATAGATGGACAGCCAGAAACATCCAGACATACAAGTCAGATGTGTGAAATTGTCAGGTTTACTGACATCAAAGCAGTACAGACTCAAGTCTCTCTCCCCCCCTTTCCTTCCCTTCTCCAAGAGTGTGCCTCCAAGATGAGAAGGGGCCAGGTGCTTCTATCTGCAGCTTTACCTACCTTCTATCTATTGATAGTGTTGAGGACTGAAACAGGAAGAAAACAAGCCCTCACACAGAATATTGACAGAAAGGACTATCTTCTAGACAGCACTTCCCAAGTTCCAAAACAGTGAAAGCACCCCATCATGTTGTTTTCACTATGGCAACACAGTATCTTCAGTTCTTCCCAAATTCTAGCCTATACTCCCTCTTCAATTAGTCTCAGAGATTTGAGACATTACGTACTTCAAGGACTTTTGGGAGTGAAGAAGGGAGTTATCACAAAGAGAACATAAAATGACATATGCTTTCTACATGTTTGCAACGTGGTTTTTTCCAATAAAAATGCACGAGTATTTGCAAATGTCTTCAGTTGTCAGGGAAGTTGCTCACTCTTATTATAAATTACAAAGAAACTCAATTACAGTTAAAAAAGAGCAGCTTTATGTCTTAGATGTGTCTGTACCACAAGTTAACTTTTCTACCTATTCCTCTGGTGAAATGAGCTTGAATACAGTAGATTGAGCTAAGTCTTACATATTTCTATAGTGTTCTCTTCTGTTTAACAGAGTAGTTAAATACTACCTGACTTCCTCAGGTCCAAGGCATTTTTTTCATCTCACTCTTTATTGTCCAGCTGCCTATCACATTCGTAACAAAAATTCAAAATCTCACCATGGACCGGTATTTTGTAGATCCCACTACCCATCAGGCAAACTCAAAACCCAGCAGTAAAGCAGAACCAGGTTCTATAAATCAAACATCTGCATATCAGCTTCAGTCCTGAACTTCACAAGAATTCACTGGAATGCCTTTTTACTCGTTTTCTAAAAGACTGAATAATAAAATCCAGATAGCACAGGAATCCTTAGCTAGCCTTCACCAGTTTAAATAGCTTTCTATCTGAACACTTTTTTTTAAATTTTTTTCCCTATATTGCTGTGAACATAACTTTTCTATCTTAAACATCAAGAAAATCTGGAAAATAGTTCTGAAAAATCCTCTTCCTCTAGTGTGAGAACTGGGAATACAGAGAATCAGAATTTGCAAGATAAGTCTATAGGTGTGTTAGACACGACTAAGCTCCCACCTGAAATAGGTAGGCAAGTTGCTGATCAATGAACATGGATGTTCCTGTCCCAGGAGATGCTCACTTTACAAGACCATGGTACTGAAATCAAGGAGGATGAGGGGAGAAATCTCCCGATTTTCAGTTTTGTTTTCAAATCTTGTCCAAAGGATTTTGTGAAACTGCCATGAGAATGGAAGCAAAAGAAAGCCCAAAAGACTGGATACCAAATGAAGCTCGGCACAGAAAGAGAAGACAGGTACCCAGATTTATTTCTCTTTTCTGCAAGCATGCTCAATGAAGCACAGTACAGCTGCTAGTTCATTCACCCCAGGAACTGGCATAACATCAAAGGCTTCAATTAAATACATCATTAACATTTTACTCCACAGAGAATCAGGTAAGGCAGCAAACTGTTTATGTATTACCAAGTGATCAGATTCTGCCTTCATTCATGCTCCGTAGTCATTAAAAGTCTCAGTACAAAGGATCTTATTTGACTTTAAAAAGCCTTGCCAACTGGCAACATGTTTGTTCACAGGATATGCAAGTTCCAAGCAGCCACCACTGGAATGGTATTTAAAAGACTCAATCTCCTGCAGCAAGTCCCCTTACCTTATTTCTTAGCAATTAGATGGAATGCAGCTGAATTTTTTGTTAAAAAGCGGGGGCAAAAACATAATTTCTGCTTTTCAGCAAGAAAAGGAAGAAAGTATTTAAAAATATTTGTTCTGCCTTAAATACTCTTCTTTAAAATGCTGTTTACAGAGACACAGAAGATTTGATTATTCTTGACTGCTAGAACCTATAACATTCAGACTGATGCTGAATAGCCCCAACTTCCCCCTCCCTGCAGAAGACCATACTGCTTAAAAAATGCCAAGTTGTTTCTGTAAGTATGGGACCACATTCAACAGCTACCTCAGTACTCACCTGAAAGTACCTCTCTCCACATCCTGCCCACTTAGTCGGACATGGATCCCTTCCTTCAGAACAGAGCCAAAAGCCATGTACTCTGCTAAGGCCCAGTCAACAACCCTGTTCTTGGTCATTTCCAAGCGGGCTTTCAAAATCCGAGAGAGTCCTACAGTGGAATAAAGATCAGAAATGAATGGACCTACTTCAGAGAAATTTTATATTCATATTACATTCACCATTCTCCTTCTTCACTGGCTAACAGTGAGTTAAACAGAGATCCTAAATAAGGTCTACAAATTGTTTTTCTGGAACTGAACTGCTAGCAAAGTAAAAAAACTTTTTTCCCTGGCAACGGGTTGCATGAAGTTCATACCTTGTTTTTGAAGAAGAAAGTAAGATTGGCTGTGTCAGAAACTACTGAGGACAATTAAAAGACCCATGGTGAAATATTTCTTTAAGATTTATTTCCACATCTCTAACACCAAGTACTTTTTGTAAGAGACTGAAAATATTAGCAATTTGGTTTGTGATTTTTTTCTTCATTCCTTTTCTCAATTTTTCTTGGCATTTGTCTTATTGGTCTTTTGGAGATGTTATAAAGTGAAACAGGCTGGATTGATCAATACTATGAATATCATATAAATAGAAAAGTGTAGCAGCTTCCAACAGAGTTTCAGTTGGTAAACAATACTTGGTTTTTTAGTGAAGATTTTATAAGACCAACTTACCTTTTTAATTAGAATGTCTAATACTAAATTTTATTGGGTAACTATAATTTTTAATTCATCAGTGTCACAACAAAGTGCACAAATGTGTAGAAGAGCTTTAAAGTTTATCCATTAAACTGTACCTGCTCAACAAGCCTGCAACTGATAACTGGGAATGCCCTATCATCATTACTTGTGTTTAATTGCCCCAAAGGAACACAAACACATAGAACACCTATGGCAGACACACTTTTCTCTAGAGTCATCCATCAAGGAGTAGAAAGATTAGCTAGAGATTTTGTACAGAAAAAAGCTCTTCCTCCTGATTCTAAGTGCATATCCTACAAGCCAACAAAAGAAAAAAAGAAATCCCTAAAAGTGCCTCCGTGTTTCCCCATGGAATGAACATGTTATTACTCCCAGTAGTTGCTAGATTTCAACCCGACCAGGAAGTAAAATTATCTCAGAACTCAGAAGTAAAAGTATCTATTTACTTTTTTTTTTAATTATCTTTTATTCAGAAGTAAAAGTATCTCAGACAGTGTTGGGATTCCACAGTGAAAGAGGCACAGTTAGCTTCTTACTGTAACAGATGCCAAAGTCAGAACTGAATCTCTTCAGAACAAAAGCTAAGACTTTTTGAAAAAAATGCTGTATATATGCTAACATCAATGCTAAAGGGTAAGTTGAAAGAAAAACTGTCAGAATTTGCCTACACAGTGTCCATTCAGCTGTACTAAAATTCAGCTCATAGTAGATCAGCAATGTTGCCAGGTCTAAGAAAGTCCCAACTGTATTTCTGAGCAGAAAGTCATCTAACTACAAGACGTGTCTTAAGGGGACCTCAAATTACCTCAGGTTTTAGCATAAGAAAACCCCACTTTAATAATGCCTCCTGAGATGGGTGTCTTACTTCCCAGTTAGTCCCACAAATATGCTGCATTTTCCACAAGGACTTGAAGAATGAAAGAAGGTATTTACTTAACGTTACAAAAAACTTTTACCGCCCTCAGAGGAAATTCTAATTTAATGAGGTATGGAACAGAAGTGATGTGATACTGAAAGAACATTATGCTCAGAACAAGCAGCAGGACCTTCACTGTCACATTTTTCTTATCCATAGAGTAGAAGAGTCAAAATAAAAAAGTCACAGGTATTTTCCTCTTCGGGAAAAGGCCCAGCAACAATTTCTATGCAGAAATACAGAAAAAGAGCAAGAGATACAAAGAGCCCAGCTGACCTGAGTGTATTTTGAAGTCTTTGACTGGCACTGAACTAGCTACATTGCCAATGTGAGTCAGCAGGTCTTCCGAAATGCCAGTGGGAGGACAAGACATGCTCTTGGGTTCTCCATCCACATTAAAGAATCCTGGAAGTAAAAATTTTGGTGAATGCTCAAGGACTGTTTCAGAGATATCTATATTATCTATAATTTATTTAAAAATTCACAACTCTTAAATGACATTCTAAGCAGCAGGCTAAACCTAGTTCTTCACCTTCCACTGGGAAATACAATAATTTTGGTTGTCTGCATGATAACATAACTTCATCTTACAGGCACACAATGATCTGCTTTGTTTCTGCTTTCACTCCCTGTGAAGTCCAACTATGTGGGCAGAGGCAGCCAATAAAAGGCATATGACACCTCAATCCCTCATATAAAAATAATAAAGCAAAAAGAGCATGAGATACACTCCTTCTTCTTGACAGCAGAGACAATTAACAGTACAGGAAAGCCACTTCTCTGCTGAACTGGGAAGACATCTTTTTCAAAGTCACACCTTACTTCACATGTTCTTTTAAGCAAAATATTTATTTCAAGTTGATCTGGAAGAATGCTATATTTACCCTTAGCAGGGGCTAATCAAAGGTCACGTAATTCCATTTTAAAGCAACATTATCTGATAAAATCTATTTAAATCCTGGATTATGGACTCAAACTAAAAGTGCACTCGGATAACACTAGGATAAGTGAAAGGACACTTCTTACCAGGCCAAGGTGAATCAAGCCAGTGCTTGATATGTAGGATCTTATTATCCTTGGATCTAGTATATGCTTCTTCACATATTCTATCATACTTCGCAATTTCTTCCTGTAGAACAAAAATCTTTTTTAAAATTGATAAACACAACACCCTTGTATCATAGAGGTGACACCTATCATTCAGTAGGATAACACATTCTCTAAATCAATTATTTAGTTCACAGGACAGGTGTTACAGAGGACTGTACCAAGAGCTGAAGTTGCAAGCATTACTCTAGAATGAGACAGAACTGAAGTACCAAATATAATTTACAGTCATACTTCTAAGATCAGAACCATTCAGCAATCTTACTCCTGGCTACAGAAGCCACTAAATACTGGAAAAGAACTTATTAGAAAACCAGTCTTTCTGGGAGAGTCTAGTTAAGAATCTGCTGGACACCCCTGTCAAGGCAACAGATACAGTGCCATGTTCTGTAGAGGCAGAATGCCTCTGCAATATCTATGTTTCAGTTCAAAACCACGCTCAAGTTATTGAGTCAGCTAATCTTTAAAGGCATTAACAACAATGCTGAGCTCAGTCTGTACAGCAAAACATCCAGGATTCATCCAGGATCCTGGATCCAGTCACCAAAGTCCATGTCACTACTGGCACACTCTTACAATGATTCAGGAAAGTTACTTCTGCATGAGCTGTGATCACTCCTGCAGATAACTGAATCCACCTACAAAAACTTTTTTCTTGATCTGCAATATCATGTCACTGCATAGTTAGCCACACCTTCTCAGAAGGTCCTTTGTTGCAGTTGTACTTTACACACTCATTTTCAAAAAGGTTAAGGTAAAGACCTAACCAGTCTAATGCAGGAACCAATCTCTACACTTCATCCTTCTGGAATAGTTCAAATGATCTCTGAATTTAGTTGAATTCTTGCAAGAAAATAAAAAGGCTAAATTGATTCTATTGCATCATTGCTGAACAAACGCCTGCCAGGGTTATAAATATGAAGCTACAATTATACCTGTGGGTGTCTTGCTGCTGAATCAAGAGTCTAGAAATGAAGAACAGCTGACAAATGCCTCTATTTTCCAATATTCTTATCTGAGCACCTTTTACAAATCTCAAAACTGAAGCAAATTTTTCCTATGCAATATGTACTAATTACTTCACAGTACTTTCAGTCCTTTTGTTACAACAATACTATCTATTTTACATGAAAATCCAAACCAGATTGAAACACAAATTGTCAAAGGGTGAAGACTTCTCACAGTAATGAAAGGAAGGTTTTCAAGCAGACAGCATACAGTGACAGTTGTGTCTTTCTACTGTACAGCTCCTTAGGTTCCCTTCAACTCTGTTGATGTGTACCTCAAACTCCTGCAGGGTCACAGTCCCATCTGCAATCAGTTTGTCAGCATATTTCTTCAGCACTGGCACCTGCTTGTGGATCTGTTTGTACATTAGAGGCTGGGTGAACATGGGTTCATCCATTTCATTGTGCCCTCTCCTACGGTAACAAACCTACAAAGGGAAAGATTGTTACTCTTGGTAAGGCGAAATGTAAAATGAAATCTTTCCATTTCATAGTTTTACAGATATTTTTAAGAGGTTTATGGTATAAAAAACACTTGTGGCTTCCTGTGGGCCTGTTAGTTGTTTGCCTTTTTAAAATGAGGATGCTAAAGGCCTTTAAAATCAAATGTTTCTTTTCTAAGCCACAGAAAAATAAGAGAGTAATACATAATGCACAGAATGAAAAGTTAAGAAAACCAAGACTTACCAAGTCAACCACCACATCTTTATTGAATGTGTTTCGCCATTCTGCAGCCACATTGCACACATACATCACTGCTTCAGGGTCATCAGCATTCACATGAAAAATGGGAGCATTGACCACACGAGCAACATCAGTAGGATATGGAGATGAACGGGCCATACGGGGGTCTGTGGTGAAGCCAATCTAAAAATGACAAAAACTTCTATTAAAATAATTTGGACACCTCCTTCTACTCCGGTTTGAATGCTTGAGGTTTGCATTTAATAGTAATTTACACAGCAGTAGCACCAGCTTTTCAGTTTGGCTAGCTAGCTTCTTTTTGATCCCTTAAAAACAAACCAAAGCAAACCTAACCCAGTTAAGTATTACAAATTGTATTAAATAAACATAGGTGATAAAATACTATCCACTCAGAGTCACTAGATACTATGATCATTTTCAGAAACACCCTAACCATTTTAATAAGCAGAGGGGACAATGCACTCAGCTAATAGCAATCAAGAAGAAAAAGAAACAGGAGAGCAGCGATTCAGCAGAAAAGTTGATTGGAAAATGCTCCACTTGTTACCTGGTTGTTGACCACAACGTGAATGGTGCCATTTGTGGTGTAGGATGGGAGGTCACTAAGATGAAACGTCTCATAAACCACTCCTTGTCCTGCAAAGGCAGCATCCCCATGTAATAGTATGGACATAACCTGAGAGGGAGAATCAGACACTTACATCCACACCTATATGAGAAACCAAAACTACAATTTAAGCTTCTCAGCAGGATTTCTTTCTCTATATTTCTGTAGTGCTTATAAAATAGAACAGTATTTTTATAATACACTATAAATTTCTCTGAATTCTGCTGCCTTTGTTCAGTTTGCAAACAAAAGAAAGCTTTAAGCCTACTTTCTCAAGTTACCTTTGAGGTACTGTGTCAGAAACCTTATCTAGTTCAACAGGTGATATATCCCTTTTGTGGAGAAGAAAAAAAGGAAGATTCTGCACTATGAAACTACTGGTAAACTATTTTCATTAAAAATACTATGAAAAACTACCATTAAATTTACTACAGTAAACAATTTTTACCTTTTTCCCTGCTGTATCCCCTCGATAAAACTGCTCAGCTTTTGTTTTCCCCTGCACAACAGGATCAACTGCTTCCAAGTGAGAAGGGTTAGCCATCAGGGATAGAGTGATTTTCTTGTTTGTTGTTCGGTTGATCCTCTCATGGTACATTCCCAGATGATATTTTACATCTCCAGATCCCTAACATGCAAGATGCAATCATGATTCAGGAATGTCATTCATACCTGCTGCATCTGATCTACTACTCCTAAAATTTGTGCCTCAGCCTGAACAATGCATCTAGTTAATTGCACATCAGTATGCACTATGGGTTTGACAACATAATTTCAAATTGGAACACTGCTCCTATTCTATTACCTTACCGTTGCCATGCAATGTTGGGTAAATACTTACAGAATATTGATACTCATTACATTTATATAAAACAAAGAAAGACGCTTAGAGATTATGAACTCAGTCAAACTCTTACTCATCTACAGTCATTCCTGAGATATTTTCTGCATGTTAGAGGTACAACATAATCTTTACATTCATTAAGAAATTTCACCAAATCATGTTCCTCCGACTAGAAAAGAAGGCAATGCATTTCAGCAGCTGATAATGCTACTTTCATAATAACCATGACCAAACCAACTAAAAACTACTTTGAATGTTGACCTCTCTATACAGATCTCTTGAAAAAGCATCTCACCTCATCAGCTGCTTCAAGTTTGGGATCAAACTGACAGAAGATCTGCTCCAGCTCTTTTCGGATTACATTAGCCAATACATTCAGCCGACCTCTAAGAAAATTCCAGACACAGTTATGTCTCAAAAATGGCAGTAACAGAGTCAACAGCATAAAACTTACAAAATCTGCAAACCACCCTATCAGAAATTTGCAAAAGTTCACTTCAAACTTTTGAACCTGAAACCCTTGATTCAACTCTTCTTCCTATTGCAAAGTCCCTCCGATGGGTTCCCTCAGATGTTCTATAATAGCTTGCTATCCAAGTGAATTTTGTAGTTATCTAGCAGTCTTTATATTAATTATCTTAAATAATTAATTATCTTAATTATTAATTAAGTCTTTATATTAATTTATATTAATAATTAGTTAAGGCAGACTGCAAAAGTGAGTTCAATACTATTCACTGAGTTTTCCCACTTCCAGATGCTAGGTGACACCGTGGCTGCTGCCACTTTTGTTTGCAGCTTCAAACTACACTGAGGAGAGTTTCTCTACCATTTACCTGTGAGGCCTGTAGCCTCTCACTGACAGGCACTTGTTACAGTTCTGTGTTCCCATTACTTGCTGAGATTGACTCTTGCTACCTCAGCTTTTTTAATATCAACTTTGTTAATAAAATTCTAGAACCTAAAACTTAAACACAGTGAGCCCATTTGTTAGGGTGTTTCCACTGACATTACCTATGAGGCATCCCCATTATAACATATTCAATTCCCATTTCACTGGATTTGTCAATGATGGTCTTAAGAGCAGGAATCATTACTTCACATCCTTCCAAACCAAATCTCTTTTCAGAAGACCACTTGCGAGCAAGGAAGTCTTCAAATCTTTGCCAAAAAGAAACACAAAAAAAAGAGAGTGTTTGTGTTAAGATAATGTAGCAAATACTGTCAAACATCTTTTAGCAAATAAAATTACACTGCTTTAAAACATCTGTGAATACAAGTTTTTAGGCCTCTGGTATTAAGTCACACATAGGGAGGAAAACACAGGAAAAATTAAGTCTTCTTTCTCCTCCATCTGAGAAGTATTTACTAGGACTTTGAAACAATGAAGAGTCTCCATCTCAGACCAAATTCACTTCCCAAGTTAAACTCTGTTCCCATGTACAAAAATACTGACCACTGGGAAGGCAGAGTGACAGCAAAGAAGTCTCTCCTACGGATTGAAGAAAACATAGCAGAGAACCTGTATTAAATACTTGTAAAAAACCAGAGTAGAAAGCATGCCAATTCCATAGGTCCCATTCAATGGCAGGGCTCCTCAGACTGTGTGATGTAACAGTTGGGAGCTTGCCAAGAGCCAGGACAGTGGTATCTCTGCCTCAGCTGCAGCAGTGGAATGATGTCAATCCCTGAGAGCTCTGTGTTCTTTCACTCTTTAATGCATTTGGGCCCAAGGCAATGTGAGTGGTTAAAAAGTACCTTTCAACAAATGTTGAAAGGATTATATGTTGTAAAGCTTGGAGATACAAAAGGCAAAGAAAATACATCTTCATCAAAGTAACTGTATTGGTTACATCATCTGTGCAATGCCTCGACTCATAACACTGCCATAATCCATTAATACTCAACTTATTCCTCACTTAGAATGCTGACATTTACCTCTTTAGACTGAAATCCTGGAGGCAGTGAAATGAGTTGTTGCCAAAAGACTCTCCTTAGCTCACCCATTAATACCCTTACAATTCAGCCATCCAAGCAACAAGTCAGATCCTCAGCTAAGGTATTCTGCCAGAATCCCTCAGGAAAGTCTGTGGGACTATGCCAGTAAACTGGAAGTGGGGTCCCATGGGAACAGCAAGTCCTACAGGGTGAATCAAAGCAGTGTACATGCTGTTTTCCTCCTCTTTGCAGCTCCAAGTTAGGCCGGTATTGGACAAGCAGCAAGTTCATTATTTGAGGCAAATTGCCACTAAGTGTGCAGAACTACAGTATTTCACAGTCACATCTTGCAAGTCCCCCACATGCCACTACGAGTGCACAAAGGCTGGCAGCCCATCCACTGTCACTCCACACATTCTGTACCCAGTGAGGAACACATCTCATAAAAGGGATAATCTGGAAATGTTTGACCCTGCCCAGATCAGACTCCACATCAGGGTCTAACATTTACTAATGCATATACAAAGTAGTTCAAAATGTACAAGGAGTATTTTACAGAAGGAGGAGTTAAAAATGAGCCTTGTACAATAACCTATCGGTAAAACCCACAAAGGATGAGAAATCCAACCTTAAAATTCAGTTTCAAGTACCTGAACTCTGCAGTACTTGGAATGAACACTTTTGAAAACAGTATTCTGGAGCAAAACAATGAAAACCTGCTTCCCAAAGCCACAAATCTCAAGAGCACAACCAGGTTTCTAAAAAATCAGATTTTTTTCCTAGATCATTTTCAAACCATAGAATAAAAAATGCACTGGAGAAAAGAGGATAGAAATTTTTGTAAAACTATTTTTCTTCCATTTTCAGGAGAGAATTAAATTGGCAGAAGACGAACATTTGGCTCCTTCATCCTACTAGAAATCCCAGATCTTTTCACAGTTTACACAGGAATAAAAGCACCAATTCTTGTCTTAAGATAAATGGAGGTGGTTCATATTGAGCACCTGTTAAACAACAAACAAACTTACTCAAGTGTAATATTCACTTGGCCATTAAGTTACATTTTTATTTCTGTTTAAATGAAACTTTTAACCAAACATACATTCTTGCTATAATATTGGCTAACAAAACACCTGGAAAAAATATCTTTTGACACCTCCAATGAGCACTTCACTTTTATGTCTTTGAACATGGAATCTTAACAAAAAAATGTGCCTTTCTAAATCTCTGACACTTGCGTTTATCAAAGGACATGCAAACTGTTTCAGATTGTAAAAACTAGAATGAATCTTGTGTCTGAGAAGTCTTGTTCTAAGGATAAGAGGATAATTCAGTCTCTGGGATCACAGCATTTCCACACAGACAGCCACAGTGGAAGCAATCAATAAGCTGTTTCCATATGTGCTCTCTCACGTTGCAAAGACTAAAACTGCTGCTGCCAGGTCATGCAACAGTGCTGCACATCTTGGCACATCCCAAAAGGAAAAGGGCAGAAACAGGACTTGAAATAACATTCCAGCATTGTTCTGACCCCTATTTTCTGAAACAGGATACAAATCTTTAACACAGATCTATATTACTTGTCTGTTGAAACAACTTTTTCCCATTTTATTTCCTCAAGCCAATGAAAACATTGCCCGATGTGCCACTAAAGGCTGGACAAATGTTACAGAACACAACCTGCCTTTTAAGACAATGGAATACTAAAAGTCACAACATAGACCTGGACACACGTCACAGCACACACTTTCCTTTGATATCACAGCCAGGTTAACTGCACCCACCTGGGCTCCAGATCTCACTGACTCTATTCACCTCAGCAGTTTACAGATGGCACCAGCTCCCACCCAGCAGCCACAGAGCAGTTTCCCAGCACCACCCCAGTACCTCATTGAGCGCACCAGCCTGGCCAACAAAGTCCTTTTTTCCTCATTAGTAAACTTCATAATTCCCGGCGTCTCAAACTTCTGCCGGATCCACTGGCACTGCTCCACATCATTGATGAACATGAACTCCAAGCCAATGTGCTGGCAGTAGGTATTCTAGGAAATGAAAACACCAACAGAGAAGCTTTAGGAGCTAATGGGCCACGAAAAAAACAAATACATTTTTTAAGTTATATTCCCTGTTACTCTTCTGAAAGCTATATTCTCATCTTCCTCTTCCACAGTATCTTCCCCGCAGCAATTCTATAAGTGAATAAATTATTTTACTGAATCTAGTTTTGTGCCTCAAAGCTTTCTCTACAAAGTAACAAAATTTTGAAAATGGAATATTGTCATTTGGTGATGTACTTAAAGCAGGCCAATAAACCCACCTTAACTGGCACATTTCACCTAACTCAGTACTGTTCTTACAGGCATAGTACAGTCTTTTCTTTAGATGCACCAGCAAAGATTTCCGCTAATTTACCAAAATTTACCCTGTCTTTTTTAAATGTCACCTGAAATCAAGCAATAAAGACAGTGAGAAGACAAGTATGAAGTCTCATGCAAATTATCTGATAACTGTCGACTTTCAGAAACCTGGAAATCTGAAAAAGAATCTAAGCAGCTGAGAGCAGAGAAAGGGCAGGGAGAAATGCGAAGACACAACAGAAATTTTATCTCCTTGCTCATTTTTTAAATTTTCTTTTTCTTACCTTAAAAAGACTATTTCATCAGAAAAAAATGTTTCCAAAATAAAAGTCAACAGAAGTAAGACCTAGTGTGAGTTTGAGACAAAACCACTGTGAACAGAGAGGTTCAAAATCACTCATACAAAGAGCAGTATGTGCTCTCTACTGCCTCTAAAAAGGAATTGAATGTTAACTTCAATTAAAAAAAATAATCCAAAGCTCTAGAGAGAAGAGGAAACCAGAGAGTTCTCTCTCCTTAACACGAATCAGTTCCTTGAGGCTTTTAGATTTTGCTATTGATTTTGTCCATTTATTTGCACATTGCAATTTTAAAGATTTTCTCTTGAAAATTGCTACACAGATAAGCTAGAAGTACAAAAACAAGAAAAACCCCAAATATAGAGCTCAAATGCACAACAGAGATAATATGTTAACAATTTACCAAGCTTCAGCTAAGCCAACATAAAAGTCAAACAGCACTAAGTCACTCAGCAGTCTGCAAATTCATTACCATTCCTACTTGCTATTTTGCTATTTGGAGTTCTCCTCTAATGACAGTGATTCCTTCAAATTAGTTTTGCTTTAAATTATTTCAGCTTTGATAACTTCTTATGGCTTAAACCTTATCACCTGTCAGACAATGAAACTCTACAAAAATGATTGGGGATGGAAAACAAGGAAATCACCGTCTACAAGCTACAGCCGGGCTTTCATGAATTTGGTACCCAGCCTTCACATTTTATCTCAAGTAGAAGTCTCACTAAAGCTGAGGATCTGAAGGCAACATCTGAACATCCTGAGCACTGTATACAGAGCTGCTTTATCTGTGGTTCAACACTTCAAAGACAATTTCTAAAGGCTCTACTCCTTTAAAGCAATATCAGTTCTTGACAGAGCGAGGGCTCGAATTAGTATTCTACCATACTCACCTCTTTTATACTCATCCTAATCTATACATTTCAGATATCCAGGTAATGAACCCAAAGGTGCTGCTACCTCTAGAAACAGTACAAAGGTTATTTTTCATGTCACTTGAATTCTTTACATGCTCTGTTAATAACTGACAAATTAGAAGGTTTTTTTTGTGACTGATAACTGGAAAAAGTTCACTTCTGTCTGGATGAAAACAACCATAAATTCAAAAATGTCCCACTGACCTCCAGGCGTTTGATGATCTCTCGTAAAGAAAGACTGTTCTCATTTCCTCCTATGAAGGTGGTTGTTGGCAGCTGAAAGACTTTGTCCAAATCTGATTCATGCAAACCATAAAACCCTACAACAGGTACATTATTTATTTGCAGAGCAGGGCAGGAGACAAAAAGGAAACCAGCATTGTTTTTCAAACCATGGCAATTATGTTTAATAAAACAATATTAAGAAAGAAGGTACCAGAATAAAACTTGAAAATGTGAATATTTTTCAGGTATCCATTAGTAAAACGCACTTTAGTCTGGATTTTAAAACTAATGTTTTAATTAAATAGTCATCATTTAATTAGAGGATAAACCATTCTTTCTTAAATGCTCAGATAAAACAACTGAAATTAAAATGACCCAAACCTTTTTTATATTTTAGCATATTAGCACATACACCATTGATTCTCCATACTATATCTTGCAGTTCACTGTTTAGTAAAACAACTAACTGTGATGATTGGGATTTATTCCTTGCTCTGTCATAAGCAACAAACACAAAAACAATCCCTCCTGACAGAGAGAACCAGCTGGTTGGAAGCGTATTCCATTAATAGATACACTAAGAGAAAATACACAACATGCTCAATGTAATGCAGTACAAGCACTCTGGTAGAACTTCCAAGGTGTTTCTATTCACTCTCTTTCTCTTTTTAGGGTAGTTTGAAATAGTCATGTAATGACCTGCACACAAAGATTTCCACACCCCCACCAACTAAAACAAGGAAAGCATATGTTTAAGCATATTGACCCATCTTGCTTTAGACATACCTAAACTTCTTCTGGCTGAGAATATTATTTAAGAAAATACTTCACTTAACTATTAAGTTTCAAAAACCAAAATACACAGCAGATAAGACTGAAAGACTGGTTAAAGACAAGTTAAAAGCTTTGTACGATGTAAGTTTAACCTAAAATCTGTTAAATGAAGAAAGGAAAAATAGCTTCTTACAACTGTAAGAAGCAAATGTATGACACTTATAACAGATATTACATACAGTTGTAGAAAGTCATATGTACATTAAAACTATGTATTTCACAGAATTTCTGAGTTGGAAGGGACCCACAAGGACCATCAAGTCCAACTCTTAACCAAATGGCCTGTACAGGGATTGAACCTGTGACCTTAGCACTGTGCTCCAACCAACTGAGCTAATCTCAAAGGTTATGTGTGCATGCATGTGTGAAAATATTTTAAAAATTAAAAATAGCTTCTTTTTAACTTTGAATTCTTTATCTTGGTTCCAGATAAGCTGCAGACATGCACTTTAACACTGACAAGACAGCCTGCACATGACTCTTAAATCAATAAAGAATAGTGCTCCCTATTCCCTACTAAATGACTTTTCTGAAGATGAAAAGGAAGCAGCAATTTAAAGATGAAATAATAACAGAACTTAGCATTTAGAGTTGAAGTCAGGCCACAGGACTGCATTGGCACCACTTTTACTACACGGCACTGTCAGTAAATAACACATTCTCCGCTTTAAAAATAATATATTTTAAAATATTCATTTTGGTTTTAGTAACAATTTTAACAATATATTAAAATTTCAAACCTAGAGCAATCAAAAAAAAAGGGTAGGTACCACTACTTCTCCTTTTTGGTATCGTACGAGGTGTTTTCCCAGCAGGAGGTTAGAGGGACACAGGGAATGACAGGGGCTTTAGTGTCATTTGAAACAAAGCAGTGCTAACTGTTTTGTTGGGTTTTTTCTTTGCTGACTTTCCCTCAGACTTCACAGGCTCTTCGTGTGCTATCATGCATAAACCAGAACACGTACAGGAGTGATCTGGGCAAACACAGAACATCTGTGCTTTGTACTGCAGCACCACATATTTACTGAAGCATCACCTCATGTTTAAAGAGATACAACCTTACTGAAATCCTGAGAGCAATTCTATAACCCGAATCATGCAGTAGGTACATCTGTGACTGCCTGCATTTTCAGAAGCAACTCTCAGAAGAAACTTCCTACCACAAGGTTTCTCAAAAAGAAACCAGAAGGAAGGATGAAGTAAATGCACAGAAAAAAATCAAACACTAAAATACTTTCTGTACCAGCAGAGACCTTTCATAAGTTTCCTGCTTAGAACATTCAAGGATGGGCAACATTTGAGACCCTCCTCTTTTTTGCTGTGCCAAGACTAGGGCAGAAATTTTGTTTGCCCTCACAAACTGAAATCACTTCAGTTACACTCTCAGAGACATCTCATTCAGAGGTCTCACATATTCTTCCTATGGGCACAAGGGCTTCAGTGTGACGCCTTCTGACCAGTCACAGCACTGTACTAAACTATCTGTACATTCCAAAGAAATGTGCACTGATGAGCTGGCTCTGACCCATGCTCCAAACTATATTCACTCACTAAATGTCTAATATATTTACTAGTAGGTACTTTCCTTTAATTAAAACTGACAAACTTCAGAGAGAACGCCCAGTTTGTGTAAGCACCTCTCAATTTACAGTCCTAGGCACTCTACTGCCTTTATATGATCAGAACTGCTTCTTTCCCTACCACCAGAAATAGAAAACACAGCAGCAACGAGGCAGTAGATGAGCTTACAGTAAAATTAAGAAGAATGTGCTTTATCTACTGCTTGCACTACGTTTTATGTCTGGTCTGAAAAGCTTCCCAACACATCAAAGAAAAATTGATTCAGTGTCTTCATCAAGTAGAAAACCACATTTTAAACAAACCAGGTAGATTGAAGAGTACAGAAAAATCAATCAGGTGTTTTTTTATTCAAGCAGAGAGAGGCAAAGCAATTGATCAGTGCAATTTCTGAGACCTGCCCTCCGAGCAACCAGAACTACCTTTACAAGGGCAGACCTTGTGCACCACACTCTTCCGGCAGTAAACTCAAGTGATCACCATTGGATTATACCCACAAGCAAAGAATTCTACGCTTTCCATCTTTTCTTTTGATAAATTCAAACAGACTTCTTCAAGACATACAGAAGGAATAAGTATCATACACTAGAATCCAAACTGGGTATGAAATTTTCCCTAAGTCCCTCTGTCCAGTGTTTTATTTATTGCTTGTTTTCCCTATTGACTAGCCTTCAGATGTCCCCAGTTCAAACACATATCAAACATAATGGTGTAAGAGTAATTTAGATTACCAGAGTCTTGGCCTAATGTATTGATTAGTATTAATTTCTGGTGGGGTTCAAAAATACAAGATTCAGGGGTTTTATAGAGTGCTTATAATCACCATTCACCAGAAGATGAATTCATAGGAACTTCACCTGTGATCTCAGAGTAGAAATTCCATAGTCCTGAAACTTTAGCCCCCTTACAGATACTCAAAGGCACTATTTCATGATACCAGCAAGCAGAAAAGGTAGAAGGTTCCTTGAAATGTGGCATCCCTGCCCATGGAGTGGGGTTGGAACTAGATGATCTTTAAGGCCCCTTCCAACCCAATCCTTTCTATGGTTCTGTGAAATGCCTTATTTAATCACCTCAGCCCAAGGAGACACAAGAGCAAAATGACCAGTGCAAGTAAGAAGGCAGCCAGACATACACACCGAGCTTATCGATTGTAGTAATTAGGTCAGATGGAACAAACGAATCCAGGTCTGCATCCAGAATTCCAAGGGGATCTAGCTGAGCCACATGGTGACCACGGATCTGAAAATGGAGGAAAGTAAGAGGAAAAATGAAATCACACTAACAGAAGTCAGACAAAGGGAAAAATTCACTGATATCTCTCCACAGTATATATCTCAGCCATTAAATCAAACAAACAAACACCACTAATGTGATGAGAGGGTCACATATTTCCCAAATTTTCTCATAAGAACAAAAAAAAAGCATTATAGCACTGGCTACATATACTACCTGTATTAAAAATTAATCAATACACATTAGAACATAACATTTATTTTATCTGACACACAATTCAACTGGGATTACACTGAAGTTTAAGTGAAGAAAGCCACTAAAGATTACTCTCAATCTCTGAGTAAAATTAACAAACTATGACTAGTCTATAGGTCTTATCGTTTGCCAATTCAGTAATTTTGTATTTCTGCTTGAATCTTCCTTTCTGAACCTGCAGAATACTAAAATACAGCACTGCTGACCTAAAACACTGATGGGTGCTGAAGTAGTTTATATTGGTAGTGAAAGGACTGCTCTTCCTGAGCTCTGTTCTGCATCAAATAGCATCTGATAGCATCCATTTTCAATTGTGAAATTTTGGAAATTTGATCTGTAATAAAAATCGACATTCAAGACACAAAAGAACACAAATTGAGTGGGGAATTTAGCCAGTTTTCAGTTATAAGTATAACTGGTGTCAATGCATGCCACAAGTTGCTATAAACTAGTGCCTTACATTATCATATAACATTGCCACACAAGAAATTTTGATCCAATCGAGCCACAAATACAAAACAATTTTTAATATGTCTCTTATGTGTGACTCTCATATGCCAGATTAACTCATGAAAAGCTTTGTATAGATGAATATATGAATATTTTCTCCTTAAATTTTTTCTTTTTAATGATGAATTAAGATCACTTGGGTAGAATTTCATTCACACTATGAGGATCCTAATTGTCCCTTAAAAAAAAAAGAAATTATAAACTGTATTATTAACAGTGAAGTGCCTCACACAGTCACAGAGTATGATTGATCCAAATATTCTATATTTGCAGGAAGAGTTCATAACAAAACGGTTTCCAGTCATAAAAAAGCCCAGAAATGCAGCATCTTTTTTAGAACCACCAGCCCTGTAAACTCAGCCCGACTTCTGCGATTCTTTGCATCTCATGAATCACCAGTAATAAAACCCTGACAGGCCAAATGATGCCCACGGCATCATCTGTGCCATCTGACTGTTTACAGCAGCACTAAGTCTATCTGACTGGAACCAAGCAAACAATTCTGTCTCAAGCATCATCAGCGGGAAAGAATTCACCTCCTTAAGTTACACCTGCTCTATACTATTAATAGGAAGAGGAAGAAGACCAGCAAAAATGCCAAAACCCAGAAGAGCAAATCAGTAAAATGATGTCCCATATTACACTTCAGGAGCATTTAACTAAATGACAATATTTTCCTCAATATCAAGCTATTCTTAATAACTTCTACTACTTTCACTGGCTACAGGATATAGTAACATCTGCAAAAATTGGAGATCAACCTTGTGGAAATACATGCATAAACAATTTTCATCAATTGCCATAACTTCGACTAAATGCAAGTATAGACTACTCGAAACCAGACCTTAAAATCAAGACTTCTAGATTAAGATGTAAAGAAATTAAAGGAAATAAACAAACAATAAAAGCCAAACCAAAACAAAAAAACCCACCCCAAAATAAAAGAAGACTCAAGAAATCAATTTTTCTAGACGTGCTTTTGTTAAGCACACACACTTCACTGGAAATCCTTGTTTCAGTGTGTCCAGTGCTTTACATTAGAAGAAGCAATAGATTAACTGCCTTTTCAGAAGTCCAGCTCAGCAGACCACAAAGCAGTTTGCCACAAAAACCATAAAACACTGACAGGTTTGAGAAATGAAAATCCTGTATCCTTCTGCATTTCACTTCATTATCAGGCAAGGGAAGGTCACAAATTATTATGCCCCTTCAACACTGAATTGAGAGGGTATTAAATACCTTTTAAAAAACAGACAGTTGCCTTAGGCAACCCTCTTTGATTGTTTGCTGCAGACACATAGGTGCCTGCCATTTACACAGACATTTCTGTTCCATCTCTTGACTTGGACAGCACACTCTTTCAAACACAGGGAACAAAATGGCAATCCCTGAACTATTTTCAAGTACATCACGTCAAAGCGGCCTCACATTCTCCAATTTTCTCTAATTCTTCACCAATTTTTTACTGCAAGCAAAAGTGGCAGTTTTCTATACACCTATTTCTAAGCAAATTTCATATATTCTTTATATTCACAAGCATTTATACTCTTTTACAACACCTTTCCAACTCAAAGGTGACAATGTGATGTGTACAAAAAAAGGCTTTCAACAAGTTCCTCTTCTGTTCTCTGATGACATCAGACAGGAGTTAAAATTCTTAAGGCAGGGCAGAACAGACCTGCTCAAGTCAAATTGTAGAAAACTTCTTGGGAAGTTACATACTTATTTAAAAAATAAAAATCAAATGGGAATATTTTGCTCAACACAGATCTGGTTTTCGGGGTTGGGGTCTTTTGTTTCATTTTACACTGTTTTTAAGCCTTTTATTGAAATTAAAATACTAAATAGAAGTCTAAATAAAAATATTTAAATTTGTTTTACATTTAGAAAACATGTAACCAAAACCACTGTATTATTTCCAAAATCCTCCTTCATTTAGAGGAAAAATAACAATATTAGGTCTAATTTCTTAATGTCATAGAAGGGTTAAAAATTTGAGTGTGAAACAAAGTCAGCTTTGATGAACAGCTCTCTAAAAGAAATCCATCAAAGCTGACCCAAACTCTGTCAGCCTTCCAAAATTCAGCTTCTAGTTAATTCATCATTTCTCCTCTCTCTTTTTATCTATAATCCTGCTCAAATCAGGAATCTCAAAATTCACCCTAAATGTAAGAGAAGGAAAGTACATTTCATCCTTTCTTACAAAAAGTAACATTTAGAGCTGTAATACAAACTTTCCCAGAGGTGAAGACTTGGATCATGGAAAAGTTTGCTGTTGAAGAGAGGGGAGTGTTCGTATTTCACTGCACACATCTGGAGATTCACTAGTACCAGTATACACAGGAAAACTACCTTCACATGAAGCACAGTTACTTCAGATAATGTGGCTTTCCAGTTTGGTCAGGCAACTTACTGAATCAGACACACAAACACACACACACAAAAAATCTTAATACAGTCCAGGGAGCCAAAAGAATAGCAAAGGCTAAGCTTCGACTTGTTTGGCTCCTGCTCCTCGTAAAGGGACAAAACCCAAGAGATTCATGTTCCCTTTCACTAACAGCTATCTCCATAAAGTGCTTCCAGGCTAAATCAGATGACCAACAACAGGTCTGCAGGTAATATGGATAATGAGTTTGCTAAACCAGAGGATCTCCCCAGTCTGAATCCACCACTTCTGTGTTTAGACACTGTGCAGGAAATAAAAAGCTGACTAGTTCAAGATATTTTGAATCAGAAGAAAGACAACAGTTAGGCCCAGAAGACAAACAAGAACATAAAAAGGAAGAAAAATATTGTTTGCAAAGTAGGGGCCCTCCCACACCTCCCCCCAGAGAACACTTACTTGGTATGCTCTGATCAAAGACTGCACAGCAAGGTGATCTTCAACAAGCTTTTCAGCTTTACCCGGTGTCTGGGCCAGGCCGTGGCTCTGAAGAAATGATGCTTTTCTTTCCAGCTGTGCTGGCAGATGGGGATCATGTGCTTGGCCAACATTAGCATTTCGGAAGAACAAATCCCAGGACTGGACACGTGCACAGAGAGGAAGAAGGGAAATTTGTTACCTCAAACAGAAGTCTCAACCAAAAGCAGGTCCTTCAAGGTGCAAATGCACCCCATTACAGTGTTAAGTACCACAAATTACCAGCAAAAAGAGAGCACTGACATGTCCAAATCTCAGTAGCAACTGTGTGTTTTATTTACACAGAGCCCTTTTCCTCCCATTTCTTACACTGAGCTTGCTCAGTGGAAAACTCTCCAGCACATATGAGTGCAAAACACCTTCATCCACTATCCATTCACACAGCTCTTTTTAACTGTGCTATTTATTCAGGCAACCAGGAATGGATATGATATTATGTGGCTGGTAAAGAGCCTACAAAACAAAGAACTTTAATAAATGAAATTAATCCATTCCTTTAATGATACTTATAGAATTTATGAATTCTATAATTCATAACTGAATACACTATATCAGAATCAGTCCTTAAGGGTTTTTCTTGAAGAAACTGTTTAAAAGCAATTAAAGTCTTTTTGAGTGAGGCTTTTGTTCTAAGATGCCTTCCTCACCAGCTCAGCTCACCTTACTGTGAGAAAGAAATTATGGACCTGGTTCCAGGTCCAAGTCATAATTTTAGAAGGGTACTTATTTCAGAAGCTGAATCACAACAAGTAAAAGATCCTTTCATTTCCATCTGTGCTTTTACACAAGCTACTTCCCTCACATATGCCCAAATCTTGTTTTCCTGAATTCCTTCCATTCTAATGAGATGGTCACTGTCCCAGATTAGAATGGTATTAGATACATGAATGCTAACAGACATAGGGGATAAAACATCTGAGATGCTTATACTCAGCCAAGAAGGAAGTCTGCACTAGCAGGCAACTAAGCAATACCTGTCCCCAGCTTACAGTTGCCATAGAAGTTAATGACAGGTCATAAAACACTTCCCCCCTCAGCTGGCTAACTCCAGAAAAAAAAGAAAGTTATTTCAAAACTTTAAAATCTTCGTGACTGGAATAGAAGAACCGATATAAATTTAATTTTGTGCAGTGCATGTTATTTACCCTGGCTGTGAGCTTCAAACTAACACATCTCAAGGAACCAAGGGCCAGAAAAGACAAAAAGTAGCCCAGGGAGTTTATTTTAAAAAGGTTACTTAATATATTCATTGCAGAACACACAAAAGAATCAAAATAATGTAGTAAAAACATGGCACAACAGGAAAATACTTATAAAATCACATTTTCATTAACAAAAGGTCTTCCCATTGAAATTTCCTCAAGATTTAAGGTGTTCAGAAACACCATGAGAGGGGAATAATAAAAGAGCTAAACATCATCCAACCTTCCAAGTTCAAGTTATGGAACTGGAGGGGACTCATTGAACCTGTAGATTAGAACCTCATCATTAGCATTTGACTCCTTTGTTGAGTCAAAACCTTTTCCTTTAGATGTAAAAGCACAGTCCCACAAACAACTGAATATTTTTTTAGACAAGTGCTCTGCCTAGAGAGTTGCTAACAAAATTCAGATAGACTTGCCCAACAAGTGACTTGTTTAAGGAGAATCAGCACAGGACCCTTTCTTCATGCAAACTCACAAATACAAAGAACATGTTCACATCTGAAGATGCAGCCAGCTGGGACAGAAAGAACCTATACTATTTTTTCCTATCACATTTTTGAACTTATTGATTTGTTGGGCAGGCTTGACATTTAATCAGAGGGGAGGGAAAATACATCATTTGGCTACAGAAAATTAGTTTTTTCTAGATACACATCCATCAAAGCCTTTACAAATTTCTATAGTGTCTTTCAAGATTGATACCAGATTATAGTCTTCAAGTCCTGTGTATCAATGTCAGTCTTTGGCAACAGCATTTGCCATGTGACTGAACAGACAGAAGACCAGCTTGGTCTCACAGCAAACCTGCAGCTTCTCAATTAAATTCGTAAAGTTCTTCGAGAAAATGGTAGAGGAGACTTATAACAGAAAAATACATCTGCAAAAAACCAAACTTACTATAGTGATAGATGATACATTCTTTTTTTTTTTCCTTCTGTCAGCAAATCTATATTGTAGTTAACCATTATTTTTTCAAGTAATATAACACCATTCAAGTGATTCAGTGGCAGCATTCTACTCTCATATAATAAACAGTGTTGCACTTAGAATAACAAGTAACATATTCGTTATCCTGATGGTTTGTTTTTTTCCTAGTGACATCACAATATTTATCAACTGCAGTGAGGACAGTAAAGCCTTAAAAGATACACACCGAGCATCACTACATCACTTAAAAAAGAAAATAAATAAAATGAAGTCAAAACAAAACAAAGCCCCCACACTTTTTCCTAGTACATAAGCCAAGGAAGTGATTACACACAGTAGAGTGGCTGCATGCAGGATAACATGGCAGGCATTATGTACTCCATATCCAGCCATGCAGTTTTGTAATTAATCTTGTGATAGTAATAACTGAGCCTTGTCAAGCTTCTCTCTTATGATCTATGGCCCTGACACCAAGCTTCAAGGAGAAATAATGATGCTTTTTTCAGAGACTACGTCATTTTATTCTGATCGTTGTTTTGGCTACTCTTAAGGATGGGAAATTCAAAACACAAGGAAAAGCAGGTAATCATCAGGAATGGATCTGCACCAAGAATAAAAGCTCCTATGTATATACATGCATATTCCTTGAAATACAACCATGTCATACATAGAACAGAGAGATTCTTAGAAACACTGAATATGCTCGTTGGAATGTGACAGCCATATTGCAAACAGTTTTAAATAAACATACGAGGGAAGAAATGTCCAGTCAAATCTTCTGAGAGGGAAATCATTAGGGGAGCCTTGATTAATTGGAGTTTCTACGTAAAAGCAAATAGAGTATGATTTTTAAAGCCTAGGGGGAAAAAACAAAAAAACAAACAAACAAAAAAAACCCAACCAAACAAAAAAACCCGAGCATTTCCATCTAATCAGGGAGGCACATCTCGTCTGAAAAGGGGCTATCCGAGGAGAAGAAACATGAGAAGAAATAGGATATAAAGAGGAAAACTAAACAGAATGTTATATCTAAAGACCTAGCACAAACTGGCTTTCTGTGCTGGACATACTGAATAAAACACTGAAATATGAGTGACCTGCAGAGAGTCAAATTATCGACAATACCATAACCAACACCACATGGTGTCTTGACATTATTTTCCAACACTTCCACCCCTTTCCACAGCAGAAGGACAAATTCACAACTTGTCTACAGTCATAAAATTATGGCATGAATTTTTCTGTATTTTTAAGAAAATGGGGTGATTTCAACCCTTAGCATTTTTAACCTGTTTTATAAAAGCCCAAACTGAACAATTTCCATCAGTAAAAATCTTGGGTAAGTACTCACAGTTTTCAGTTGATGAAATCAGATGGATTTCAAGAAACCAAAAATTAATTAAGTTGATGAAACAAAGTAAAATTGATTGGAAACATTCTTCTCCCCCTCACTTTTTTTCTAGGCTGTGAAAAACCTAATAATTTAGGCAAGAATAGCTGTAATCCATCATTTCCATCAACCTTCTTCTTTTAAGCCTCATAAACCAGGGACACAGTGAATTTACTTTGGTTCATTACTGTTGTAAGTATATTACACATAGTTAACCTAGAAAAGAATCCACACATTTTTATAATTGTGCTAGTTTGGGCTGGGGTAGTTAATTTTCCACACAATAACTGGTTTGGGCCTGTTTTGGATTTGAAAACAGGGTTGGTAAAATAGAGATGTTTTCACTACTGCTGAGCAGAACTTACACAGCATCAAGGCCTTTTCTGCTTCTCACTCCACTCCACCAGCTGGAGGTGCACAAGGAGTTGGGAGGGGACACAGCCAGGACAGCTGACCCCAACTGACCCAAGGGATATCCCCTAACATAAGACATTGTGCTCAGCATATAAAGCTGGGGGAAAGAACAAGGAAGGGGAGATGTTCAGAGTGATGGCATTTGTCTTCCCAAGTCACCATTACACACATGATGGAAACCTGCTGTCCTGGGGATGGTTGAGCACCTGCCTGCCCACAGGAAGTGTTGAATGAATTCCTTGCTTTGCTTTGCTCATGTGGATGGTTTTTGCTTTCCCTATTGAACTGTCTTTATCTCAACCCATGTGTTTTCCCACTTTTACCCTTCCGATTCTCTCCCAGTCCTGCTGGTGGGGTGACTGAGCAGCTGCATGGAGCTTAGTTGCCATCTGGGGTTAAACCACGACCAAAATGCATCTTGAATTGCCTGGGATCCACTCCCTAGGCCACAGCCTACTCCACCAGGACATTTACATTCCTCTGTCAATTCACTTCTGCTGGTTTATCGGTCACTGTTCAACCTACAAAGCACATCACCTCATCAGGGTCCATCGTCAGACCGTGCCTGAACCGCCAGACGAACTGGATCTCCTTTCGGCAGGACTTTCAGCATTTCCGCCCACTCCCGAGCACCAGCAAAGTAACGAGCAGGTCTAAATTCTCCGAGGCCTTAGTTCAGCACCCTGGCCAGCTCCGGGCGGCCGCGGTCCCCGCGCCCAGCGCTGCCGCCCCGCTCCCGGCTGAACCAGGGTTCTGCACTTGGGGTGTGCTCACCCAGGGGAACTCCTCACCCCTTGAGAGGTCTGCCGGGCTTCCCAGCAGCGAAGTGCACTCCATTGCAAAGGGTCTGAACGAGGAATTTCATTCTTCCGAGAGGAAGAAGTTCACCACTAACCAACATAATGTAAATAAAATAAAAACAATGTCACCGTGATGTCACCACCTGCGCTCCTTATGCCTGAGTTCATCCCCTCAGTGTCCTCTATACAAAAGGGCTTATATGGATCTACACTTCCCACACATCATGAGGGCTTCTCAGGAATTAGTTCAGCACAGCCCCACAACATGCTAGTCCAGATGGGATGAGAGAAGAAGACACTCCTGGAGAAGTTCTCTCCAGTTCCAGGTTAAGGGATAACATAACAGACCTAGGATCTACCTCCTATGTGAATAACAGTCTTCAGCATTGTCACTGCATATATCAGCTTTCAACAGGACTAAATTCATACACAACATCCAAAAACCCACCCAGAACTGCCTTTTTTGGTCTCCTTTTTTGTTTTCCCTCCCCCCCTCAATGTGCATCACTTCCTCAAGCTGTAGACACATAATCAAACTTAGAACAACAACTTTTAAGTGACATTTTGATATACCTGCATCGAGAATACGGGAACAGACAACCAATTTGGTAAACATTTTGGGCACAATTCACATTACTTCCCTAGAAAATGACTTTTCTGTCTTAGAATTTATCAGACTTCTCATCAGCTTCTTAAGTTACTATACATGTATCACCATAACAGAGCCTTCCTTGTCAGCAGAAAGCTTGTTAGAAAATAAGTCTATGTATTTTGCCCACAAGAAAGGATTTGGGCAATAGATTTAAAGTTCAAAAAAAAAATGAAACAAATGTGTCTTGCCTGGATAGAGAGGCAGAAAGACAAAACAAAATACTTTTCAAGATACTTCAGAAGAATTTTCTGACGATTTCAGATTCAGTTTTAAGGTTACAACTTCCACAGCTACCTAAAGGGAACTAAACATTCATCTTCTTCAGACAGTTTCAAAGTACCAACGTCAACACACATTATTTAAATATAACATATTCTATGATACAAGCTTATTACAATAAACCAAAAAATGAAATGTATTTTATTCTTGGATCTTCTTCCAGGTGTAACTAGTTACTTAACACTGCTTGAACAGCATTTCCACGGAGGAACAAAGTTTCAGAGCAGCTTACTATTTCTGGTCTGGACTTCTTGTTCTTTCCCCTCAGCTCATCATGCCCATGGCTCCTCTGTACTTTTATAGTTGCAATATCACATCTTACAACAATCAATATGCGGGAAATTAATTTCACAGTTTTCATTTCATACAAGCCCTTTTCCTGAGCTTTTTATAAAAAAACAAGTTAAAAAGTAAAAAAAAAAAACACCATACCACTCTTGAACCAATATTATCATTTGAAGGTGAGTTTTAGACTTACCTTATGTACACTTTCAGGGTTTTCAAGCCATGCATAGTACATTTCCTCCACATAACTTGAATTGCCCCCACTCAGGAAAGGTTCTGAGGTTCCTGACGAAAGATACCGTTGGCCATGTAAAAATGCCCCTCTGGCTATATTCTGCTTTTCCAGAAGTTTAGTGCCATGACACTTCAGCACAGCTGCAAACAACTTCAGATGACTCATGTTTGTTTATTAGACAGACGATCCAAGTCTATTAATAAGACAAAACCAAATTTAATCAGAAAAAGAGACAATGAATTGCAAACACGTTTCAGCCCCACAGTGAAAACTGATGTTTATGGCTACAGTGCTCTTCAACAAAGCTCAGGCCTAGGCATGAAGCTCACCTCAGGGTTAGGCCTAGAGCAGTGGAATCGCTGCTGATGGCCATCCCCACATCAGCAGTTCTCTCACAGCTCCTGTAACTCATAACATTCCCCTGAAGCAATCACCCCTTGTACCGCATGCCCTGAGCCCTGGTTCCCTGGGAACAAATGAGTCTGCTAATCATTGACTTTTTGGGAGCTCTGGGCAACCCCAACTGTTGTTTCTCTGTTTAGAAAGTTGCAACCTTTCACCAAGTCAAGCTGGGGTAGGTTCAACCAACAGTGTCAAACACGGACACCGTGGTTACAAAAATTTATGCCATGAGTAATGGAGCTGACAAAATAATTAGAAACATTAGTTAGGTGTTCATGTTGACATTAGCCTTCAATCAGTGTTACACTAAGAAAAGGCTCAGGTTAATCTGTTCTCCTATCTAGCAACATTTATCTTGTTCTTCCAAGTGAACTCTTACCAGCTTTGTAACAAGGAGAGAAGATTCCCTGCAGTTTTGAACACAAAGGGAAAAACAACAAAGGTTGAATCTTGGGAATGCTGAACACGATCAGCTCCAGTGCTAGCAAAGGGAATCAGAGCTCACCTTCAAAATAACACGAACAAATGCAGCTTGCACTAGTCCCAAAATAGAACAGTCTTAATGCTGAAGTTGCTACAACTGCAAAGTAATAGCAATAATGTGAAAAGAAACTATTAGTTTCATTTTCACTGTAAAAGTATTTGGAATGTACAAGAATAGAGAGGGTTACTTAAGAGGAAGTAAAATTCAGATTTAACTCCAAGGTGTCTCTCATTTGTTTTGTTGTCTACCGAGAGAAATAATTTATTTGGTCACAAGGTAAAATACAATGGTTTTTGTTGGTGGTGTGACTAGCTGAACAGTTGCTAAAGAGAAACAAAGGTACTGAGCTGCCAAGTGAACTTCAAAGTGTTTTAAAAACAACACTGTCATTTTGAGTCATAGAATACATTTTAATGTTCCCCATTACATATTAAGTTTTCTTTATCTCTAATTCAAAAAGTAATAGATACCTTAAAAATTTTGTGTAAACATTTTCTGTATATAAATCCCATTAAATTATTTTCTTACTGTTTTTCCTGTCACCCCCTCGCTTCAAAAAAAACAAAATATATGGTTATAAAACTCTTAAATTTCTAAGGGATGGGAAGAGCTGCATTTTTCACCCTCTGATTTAAAAGTTAATATTGATCTTTAGAAAAAAAGCAAAAGGGCTCTTACTAAATAAAACAGTATTACTCCTTGTTCTTCTGTGGCATTACATTTTTAACTCCCCATCTATTTTAAGTGCTGGTGACCTTTCCTAGTTGCTGCCTTGAACTGTATCATCCCAGCAGGGAACTCTTCTCCTTTGACACACCAAATTCCCTTGTTTCCACTTTCAAGACTTCTGCAGCCTTTTCACTCTCACCCAGTAGCAGATCTGACATGTAGTTCCTAACACCAGCTGCCATCATCCACTTACTGAATGTTCCAAACAAGCACTTGTCCACGTTCTCCATGGTGCCCAACACATGGAAAGTATCCTCCCGAGGCAGCATCCTCCTTTAATCCTATGAACCCCTCAAAACCACACACTCTTCTCTCTCCATTTGGCATTTGCAGCAAAATGCCAACAGTTAGGATACCGATATGCTAAATCCCCATACATCAGCATTATTTCCTATCTACCAATATTCACTTGTCATTTCCCATTTCACAGATTGAAAGCTTACTACGACAACAATTTCCTCCTCTGTCAACACCCCGTCTCTGATATGGGCTCCGAGGCAACTGTAGGAACAGAAACACTACCAGCACCATTTTGAAAGTAGATTAAGTCCTGCAAAAGCTCAGAGTGACTGCAAGAGCACTGACAGAGCTAATACACCGCCTGCATACATAATTCTCTTCAAGATGTAACCCTGTCTATGCATGATGTCATTTTGCAAAACTTGGTAAGATTTCAACATGTTATAACAGTGAGAACAGAGAGGTCACCATGGCACTTACAACTTTATGAGAGAAATTATTATTCCACCTATCTTACTGCATGCAAATCTCACCCTCTGCCACCAAACTCTTGCACAGATACATGAGGGGTGGACACTCATTCCTACAGGGTTACCTACCCTCATTCAAAATGGCTCTGCAAAGATCTAGGAGATAAGACAATGAGAGAAACATTTTTCTCAGTTTATCATACTACAGTGGCAAGCTTCTTAAGTAGGGGTAATTTCACATTCTTTCTTCATAATATGTCTGTCTGAAGAATGTGCAGCTCTTTTTTCTAGCATTTAGTAAAGAACACATAGCAGAACAACAACAATTTGTCAGGGAGATTTGAAAATGGATGCAAATGACATAATATATAACAGAAACAAAGAGCTTGTAAGTAGTACCAGTCACTTCCAGTTCCATTTAAATTTCAAAATGGGGTCAGAACCATACTTCAAACTCTAGCTACTGAATATGCAATCTGTAAGAGCTATGGTCACTCCTGTGAAGAAATAAAGATCACAGGTGAGGAGAACTGTTACCACAGACATTATTCCTATCTCATGAAAAAGTAATGCATCCATTGTTATGCATGTATGAAACAAAAATGGACAGAGTCACCAATTGCTTAATTCCGGTCAGATTTCACTACAGACTAATATGACTCAAAAAACCTGACTTCTTCCTAGTTCTTCCTTTTGCACACACTGCTTTTCAGCACAGATGTCAGCTGTCAGTAGCTAAACAAGCCAGAGACCACCAGCGTGATCATAGACCATTCCAGCCCACTCAGCCTTGAGGCTGTCAGTCAAAAACCTGCACACAGGACAGCAGGCAGAAGTCGGAAGTAGTTAGACCTGTTCCACTCCACTATGCTTCCTAAACCAACCCTGAAATGGAAACAGTGATTGGCACGGAATCAAGCTGAGCCAAGGGCAACCTAAAGGATGGTATTAATTAAATCCCTACCGGAGGTCAAAAATAAGAAAGAAGCAGTGAACCAAAAGAACAACCTTTAATGCACCAAAGCACCCTCAAAATGGTGGAATTAAATGAAAGCCCTGAGCAGCTGAAAATTTCTGCAGCTGTTCCATCCCAAGCAGCGAGTTAGCTTTCACCTTGGCACTTCCAGCTCTAGAAGTGACCTAATGTCATGGGCAGTCTTGTGAATTATTCTACCCAGGATTCTAGAGGACAATAGAAGCATGCAGAAAACAGCAAGGCACTTCTGATTACAAAGCCTTTATCCAGCTTTTTACAAAATCACTTTAAATATAAATATGTTGCACGTATGAATCATTATCCTTCTGGTATTGCCAATGCCCTTACCACGTTTCTTAACGCACAGGAAGCCCTGCTGCCAATGTTAACAAATGATCTTTATGCTCTGCAGAAGTGGTCATTAATAAGCCTGGCCCATATTTCACAAAAGCACTCCTTCATCCACTATCATGGTCATTTTCTCTATATTCTGCACACAACTCACTCCTAAAGCACTTTTTAAGATTGAAAAATTCTAATAAAACAAGGCTGACAGTGAAAAAAACGCATGAAGATAATAAAGTTTCTCTGAAAGTCTGTCATAGATAATTTAAACTAGCGATGCATGGAACATCCTTATTAAACAAGGCTACTTCAGGGATATAAACCTCCACGTGCTAAGTGTTTCTTCTCCCCCCAGCACAGATGTACCATGCTGCACAGAGAATCACAATCCTCCATCCAGAACTTTGGCCTGGAGGAAATTTTCAAGCGGCACGTTCGCTACAAGGCACACACTGTAAACCTCGGGCAACGGAGGTATCTCAGTGCCATGAAACCAACGGATTTATTACTGTCCCCTCGAAAAAAACGCCTTCAGTGGGTACCGAAGGGACAACATCACCGCAGTGCCACAGGGATAACATCACCAGGGTACCAAGGGGATGGATGACACGACCGCGGTACCAAAGGGACAACATCACCGTGGTACTCCAGGCTACCAACGCGTTGTAAAAGAGCAGGGGGCAGTATCTGTGAGGGGTCGGGTTTGCTCTCCTGCCCCTCCCCGTACCGCAAGGACACGTCCTTCCCCGGTGTCCCGGTCACCGCGGCCGCCACCGGGGCCCGGAGCCCGCGGGGCTGTCGGAGCGCTCCCGGTGCGGCGGGGCCGAGGCACCACCGGGGCCCGGGCCAGGAGGGGCCGTCCCCGCTCGCCCCGCGCCCCGGCGCCCGGCCCGCGGCGCGACCGCCCCTCAGCCGCACGGCGAGCGGCCCCGGGGACCTGCGCGGCCGGGCCCGGCCTGGCCCCGCCGCCCCCCGCCCCTCACCGGCGCGGACAGACCTGCGGGGGCGGGGAGGGTCCGGCGCATCCGCGGAGGGCAGGGCAGGGAAGGGCAGGGCAGGGAAAGGCAGGGCAGGGAGGGGAGGGCAGGGAGGGATCGCCGGGAGCGGCGGGGCGGGGGCCGCACCTGCGTCACGTGGGGCGCGCGCGCTGAGGTCACGGCGGGGCGGGGCCGCGCGCGCCGCACCGGCACAGCCGCGCGCGGGACACGGCCCCGCCCCCCGGACACACCCAGCCTTGGCCGCGCCCCCGGACACACCCGCTCCTGGCCACGCCCCCACACCAGTCATAGCCCCCGTCTCCCCCGGACACACCCAGCACTGGCCACGCCCCCTCGGCCCCTCAGAGCCCGGGGCGCCATTGCGGGTCTGTGTTCCCAGACAGCCTTTAGGGACACCCCCCAACAGCTTTTGTTAAAAATATAACTAATTTCGTTTAAAATATAACAAGAGCACTGCTCAAGTGAATCGTTTTGAAGGGTTATCCAGAGGACAAGTTGTTCACAGCACTCCTGTGCAGGAATGCCTGGAAGTTTCACCCAGGATATGTAAAGTGTCCCCAAGGGCACATGCGTTTCTTTCCAAAATTTGTTCATAAACTAGGCTGACAGTAGTAGACCTTGACCAAAATGACAGGAACTACGTGTGAGGGGGTTTTAGGAGTGAGTTATTGTCCCAAGTTATCTGGCCAATTTTAAAACGCAAGGCAATACCATTTTGAGTGTTCCTTTGCTGGCAGAGTTCTTATTTATACCTTTCAAGTTTTCTTTTCTCCTGGATGCCTTCAAATTACAAATGTCTATCCATTTTCTCTCATAA